AAGCCGCAGTAAACATTTTCATGGGCAAAATCAACGTATAAGCCGCGGCTTATATTCCGAAAATTACGGTAGATAGCATTCACTAATAGGGTTATTCCACTAATAGCATTCTGTCCAGTGTGTTGTACACTGCACTTATATCCTGATGACGAGATTTCTCTGCTTACAGACATATGTGTTTATTGACATTAGGCCATCTTCTGCTACCAGGCACTTATCTTCACAGCACTGCCATACACATTGTGTATGGGTCACTAAAGAAATCAATTACTACACAAAAATCCCTTTCAAAAATAAGACATATGGTTTACAGATGTCCATATTAACACAGGCCATGTGTTTATATGCAGCTACTCTGCCTGGTAATTCTAATGCACATTAATCATAATTCGCAATGACAGAACTCCAGTAGCTACATGTAGCCAACCACAAATCTTAATTGAATTAAAGGGAAAATACAACATTTGCAAACATCAAAAAACGAAACGATCAAATTATCACGAAATACCTTACTGAAATGTTAGGGACTGACAGTCTAAAGCATCCTGTAAAATCGTGGCTCCTGGTGTGCTGACACTTACAAGAAAAACTGTATTTTTCCAACGCTGGTCGGCCGACCAGCGTTGGAGAAAACTGGTTTTTTTTCAAAAACTGTTCTTAATTTTTCATATTTAGTTATTCTGACTTTTCTTTGCAATTGATCACACACCTGTGAAGGGGTACAAGCCTGCTAGACTGATTCTCTGACCTTACAATTCCCCAAAGTGTATTAATTGCTTTGTTTTATCTTAAGTGGGGTCAGGGGACCAGACTACAAGAACATGATAGGTTTTCTTGGTTTTTCCAGCATCTACAAGCCCAAAACATGAAACAAGTCAGTTTAACAATATTTGCTATAACATACTAATCCTACAAATCCATTTATTTCTGAAAATTGCAGCAAAAGCAAATGTTGTACATTCCCTTTAAACACACACTCATCTGCACGTGAATGTATCAGGACATCAGATATTACAAAGGGGAAGTTAAAATATGACTGGATCGTTCAAGTCATCACAGGGATGATGTACACGTGTTTTACAGTTGTGTGCAAAGTCCTGTTTTTCAATCATTCACATGTAAATAAACGTGTTTTAAAGTAATGTGTTCCAGCTTTTATCTGTCCAGTGAAATGAAAGTCTAAATCTGTCTTATTTGACTTCTCTCAATATGCAGTACACTTACGTGTTCACATCCCTCAAACAGAAAGAAATTTTCTTGTGTACTAAATCTTCCAAGTTTATTCACAGCTCAAAATATTACTAAAACTGAAAGCAAATGACCGATTTCATCATTTGAAACTAAAATGCATTGTGCGACAAATTTTTTGGTCATGCAGCCCCAAAAGAAACTGTGAAACAGAAACTGCAAGTTCATGCACAGCACACTCTTAAACCTTATCCCCCGAAGGCATTTTCGTTAAAGGGAATATACAACATTTGCAAACATCGAAAAATAAAACTACCAAGTTTTTGCGAAATACCTTAATAGGATGTTGGTAAATGACAGTCTAAAGCATCCTGTAAAATTATGGCACCTGGTGTCAAGTCATTTTCAAGAAAATGGTATTTTTGTAAAAATTTCCAGCGGTGGTCGGCCGACCACCGTTGGAAAAACCTAACTATTTTTCAACTACTGCTCCAAATTTACCATTAATTCAGTCCAAATTTTGTTTGCTATTGGTTACATGTTCATGAACGGGTGCAGGCCAGCTAGACTGGTACCCTTACCTTACAATTTTCTGGCATCTGTAAATTGATCCATTTTATATTTAGTGGAGTCAGGGAACTTGACTACTTGAACAGTTTTGTTTTTCTTGGTTTTTCCAGAATTTTCGAACACAAAGCTTCAAAAATGCGAGTGTAACAATATTTGATCTATTATACTAACCCCTTAAATAGTTCATTTCTGAAAATTACAGCAAAAGCCAATGATGTATATTCCCTTTAATATTAAGAAACCTGTTTACTGACTTTGTCAAACTCCAGCATTGCAATTTGTATGGCACATTCTTGGCAAATGTACCGAAAACACATTATTTTTTCAATCTCTTAGTGGTGGGCCAAGACATTATTAAATCTGTCAAAATCCTGCCAAACTTGGGAACGGCGGGATTTTGCTCCCATAGGACAGACCTACTGGGAATGAAACTAAACACAAACACTGCTCCCAGTCTGGACAAGAACAATCTATTTGTTGCTGTCATATGCAAAGCGTCAAATTTCTTCATTGACACTGAATTCATGGACAGGAAAAACTGATCTATTGAGCAAACTTATGGTTAACAATTGAAAAAAAAAGAGTCTGATATCTGACCGTTACTTCACCCAATGATCCTATCTTACTGACCCACAAGTTGCCTGATGCAAATTGTTCGGATGAGGTAGGTGCAAATTGCAAAGTACATCAGTTCGATAACTGTGGCGTGTGTGAACAAAGTCCAATCACGCTGACGTAGGCAAGACACAATAAAATACCACGAGAATATACATCATTGGCTTTTGCTGTAATTTTCAGAAATGAACTATTTGAGGGGTTAGTATAGTAGATCAAATATTTTTTAACTGACATGTTTGAAGTTTTGTGTTCGAAAATGCTTGAAAAACCAAGAAAAACAAAATTATTTAAGTAGTCTGGTTCCCTGACCCCACTAAAGATAAAATGGATCAATTTATAGATGTCGGAAAATTGTAAGGTAAGGGAACCAGTCTAGCTGGCCTGCACCTGTTCATGAACATGTAACCAATAGCAAACAAAATTTGGACTGACAAAAAATTGTAAATTTGGAGCAGCAGTTGAAAAATAGTTAGGTTTTTCCAACGGTGGTCGGCCGACCACCGTTGGAAATGTATACAAAAAATACCATTTTCTTGAAAATGACTTGACACCAGGTGCCATAATTTTACAGGATGCTTTAGACTGTCATTTACCAACATCCTAGTAAGGTATTTCGTAAAAACTTGGTAGTTTTATTTTTTGATATTTGCAAATGTTGTATATTCCCTTTAACTACACTGTAGATAAAAAAACTTTCTATAAAAACATGTACACGTGTAATTGTGTTCAAGGAAAATCTTGTAGGTGTTTAATTGACACGAGGGAGTGTCAGATGATGAAATGTTCACTAACTATTTCTCGAATTTGTACAGAGCGAAATCCTGCACATCATCCACAAACATGTGAATTATGAAATACACATGATCAAATGTTCATTCACATGTCTTATGAAATCACAAAACTCGCCTTTGAATATTCTTTTCCTAACTTAAGAACAACTGCAAATGTTTTGTTTTTTTGCGGCTGCAAACATGTAGTCTTCCCAAGTACAGTCGAGTCTCGTTAATAGAAACTCATTCTGACCTAGCCAAATTGTTTGTTATATCAGAATTTTGTATTAAGCCGTGTCCGCACTGGACTTTTTTTTTGGAAGGTTTTACCGAGACGATGGTAAAGTGAGAAATGGTCAAATGTGACCGCTGTCCGCACTTGGACTTTCGACACGGGAAAATTTACCCAGACCGCGTGGGAGAAGTAACCGAGCTGTCACAGTGTCAGTATAATATCTCACCGTACACAGAAAACAAATTGCCGTTCACATTTTCAGCCGCCGATACGCACAGTAATATTACACACGCCATTTGCATGCACAACATAATCGTTTACACGATATTAGTTCATCTTGACACGCTAAATCTTGACGAAAAGGCCTATAATTCTGACGCATTTGTGATGCACGTTGTCGAAGCCATGCCGCTGTACGATGTTCCGTGCGGCAGCAGTGCCATCAGTATTCGTTGGTTCCCATCGCATGCTTACAGAATCGAAGCTATGATGTGGGCCAGGAACCAGTGACTACGGCCTACGTACGGTACCGGACCATGATGTTGCGTGCATGACTAAACTAGCGTATCAGGACGAATTTGGATCGTAGAAAATAACATACATCGGTGGAGAAAGAGAATTTCGGCAAATTAATTCTCAGAACGTGATCTCTCTTCTCTGTGTATGTAATTGTCCGTTTAAATATATATTTCAACGAGATTTTACCGCTCGGACTTGATGATACACCGCAGCGTGTTTCTACAAAATGTTCGGCCACTGCACGTGCAGGTTCGTGCGGTCTCTGTATGCATAACAGGTCGCTCGGGCCGGATGTACGCTTTCCTGAGCCGCTTTTACCGACTCGCACTGTCCGCACTGGACTTATCGTCTCGGGAAAAGTGACCTGGTCAGTTTTCCTGGGCGCGTGGGAAGTTTTCCTGGGCAGCAGTTGGCCAGTAAAAGTAACCGCTGGACTCGGGAGAAGTAACCGAGAGGAAAACGTCCTAGGCTGTCCGCACTGGACTTAAAATGGGAAAAGTACCCATAGTCTCGGTTAGTTTGACCAAAAAAAGTCCAGTGCGGACAGGGCTCTAAGAGGAACATCAGTCCAACTCATTGTGCACATAAATGCACAGTCGGGACTACGGCTTTATGTTTGTTATAACCAGAATTTTGTATTAACAGAGTTTGTACTAACGAGATTCGACTGTAGTCAAAGCCAGATTTGATTCAAGAGAAATGTGTACGGGTAATAGAATAACAAAAGCTGTGACAGAGCACTCAATGAGGAGCCATTGTGCTATGGCACACTACACAACACTGTGTGATTGAACTTTCATAAGTACTATTCAGGGCCAATGTTGCATGGAAAAAGTGTCAGCAGATTGTGTGAAGTTGTGACAGAAAGGCCATCCATTGTGACTAACTGAACTTTGAGGGATTTGATTTCTATTTTTTTGGGGGGGGGGGGGAGGTCCTGATCAATTCTGAGGAGAAAGTGATGCACATTTTCTCTATGATTTTTCATTTTTTTTTTTAAAGTACAGGCATGCAACTGGAAAGTAACCAAAAAAGGAGGAAATTGTGAAGTGAAATCTGAGCAAAAGTTGCATGCGTTATATGAAAAATTGAATAATTACCTGCAGTTCCAAATGCAATTCTGGTATCAAATCTCTCGTGGAGTACCTTTGTACTGTGGTTGCTGACGAGTTCTACAACTTCCTGTCTCGTGGCCATGTTCTAGATAAGTGATAAGACACAATGTCAAGGTTATTGATCCTGAATCAATTTTTTTTAAAATTTGAAGTGTAACCTATGGGAATATATTAGTCCGAAAATTTGGGACTCTCAATACTGTGTATGAGAGTCCCAAAACTTCAGGTATTGAAAACATGCAATACAAGAAAATAGACTGGCACCTGAAACAACCAGTCCAACACAGCTTCAGTACTGCATCAATCAACCATGCCAAACGAATTTAAGAAAAACGTGGCAGGAACCGGGAACTAGTCTCTATTTACTACACATTTCTCCATAGTCAGTCACCAGGTTAATGACACTGAATGGAGAGGTCAGTCTTTTCAAACAGTTGGACAATGGTTGGACATGTACCAGTCTAGTCTTTAGCCTCATTTTGAAATCACTTGACTTCCCTCTCATGAATGTGCAAAATATTGAAGAAATGTCTCCTTTAAAAATGGAATTGATTCTTCAAACTTGGTTGGTGAAATACCGAGGACCTTTTCTTTGCCCCATGAACATTTTGGAGAACTTTGCTGGCTAAAGAGTGAGTAAACACTAAGATGTTGTGGTAAGCACACGCACAGACAGACTGGGGCCTTGAGTTTTGAAAAAAATGCAAAACGAAATCAGGCCAACTTTACTCACTCTTTGGCCGACAAAATTCTCCAAACTGATCATGAGGCAAAGACAAGGTCCTCAGAGTTTCAGCAACCAAGTTTGAAGTCACGATTCAATTTTTAAAGTGTGCCACATTAGGGGCCATGCCACGTTTGGGTACATCAATAGCAGAGATTTTTTGGAAAGAATGTTGCCACTTTTTTCTTCATATATCATCTCAATAAAGGTCAGTCATTGCAAAAATGTTGAAAAGACATGAATCTGGGACTGAAAAACATTTCCAATTTTGTTAGGATTTCTTAACAAAATTGGAAATGTTTCTCAGTCCCAGATTCATGTCTTATCATCATTTTTGCAATGACTGACCTTCACTGAGATGAAGAAACAAGTGGCAGCCATCAGGTTGCAAAATAAACTCGACATTCCGGTCAGTATGCTCCGACCGTCTTCCTGAAGACGGTCAGAGCATACTGACCGGAATGTCGAGTTTATACCTCTGGTTTTTTTCAGAACCATTCTCTTAGCTGAGAAATTATTCGCACATGGTGTTTCCGCAAACCTTTCATTATTTAGTATCTCCACCATGCAAAGCCTCAAATCTTACTTAGGTAGGTTGCAAAATGTTTTCCCTTAATTTAATTTCTTTACTGCAAAATTGCTTGAGTGATTTTGTACAATAGCTACATGATCACAGTGATGTAGGCCTACAACAGTACCATCTGGGGTATATCTCACAAACGTCATATTCATAAACCCAAATCTTGGGTCTGTTGTACCCATTCTTGAAAATCACGCATTCTTAAGAATGTGCATGCACATTCTTAAGAATGTGCAACTGGATCCTTGCGCAATCTTCGCAAAAAATAACTCTTCCAGATTGAGCGCACATTCTTAAGAATGTGCGACAAGATAACGGTCTTGTCGATGCCGAGCACCGGCTGCGCTTGGCAAGTCTAGCTGCATCCTCGTTCACTGATTCTCAATAATTATACTGTTGCAACGCAAGGCGCTGAAAAGTAGAGTGGATATGATAAGTATAGGCGTATTGATATGGGGGGGGGGGGACCGGGAAAAAATAAGAGACATAATAATACTAGTGGAAAGAATTAAATTCTGATTTTTGGGATAATAAAAGCGGGGGGGGGGAACGTAAGAATGAAGAATGTGAAGAATCAGAATGAATACTGCGACATCCCATAGTGCAAATGCTATTTCCCATTTAAATTGCCACCAATTTATTGTTCACACCCCACCATTACGTCGCAGAGCTGGATTCTATCTAGTCAGAAGAGCAATTTTGGCAGCTTCTGGACATCGGTTTTTTTTTTTTTTGCATATGATACATACAGGGACTTGTAACTTGTCTAGCCTAAACAAAGCACTTCCCAGACTAGTTCCCAGTCCTCCGTTATTACAAAACTTCCCATAGTGGGCAGAAAAAAGCAATAATAATAGGTTTAATTTGATTCAAATTATCGTAGGTGTCACGCCCCAACTATTGCATCGGTCCCAACTATAGTTGGGACTGTCCCAACTATAGTGCGGCAGTTGGGTCGGCCCAACTATAGTTAGGACTGGAGTTGCGCCGGATGCTTCATGCTTGATAGATCTTGTTGGATTAAAATGTTCCGCGGCGCTGGCACCGTGTATTCGTCGTGCATGCATGCCGCAAGGCTGGCCGGTCACGTGGTACTGCCTAGTTGGATGAGTTGTCCAGCTGCTTGGTTTTATTATCCAGCAACATTTTGCAAAATTCAAAGATTGCCATGGCCGGCCAACTATAGATGGGCCCCACCCATAGCTAATGTCAAAGGTCCCAAGTCGGACATGTAAGCAGAGCTGTAGAGAATGTTTTATAGTCGTACAACTATAGTTGGGACTGCCAAATAAAAATATTGCGGTGGCCCAACTACAGATGGTCCACACCTATATATCATTTCATTGGTCCCAAGTAAAGTCAGATGTGTATTAGAGTTGTAGGGAATGTTTTATAATCGTACAACATAACAATGTACACTATAGTTGGGACCGCAAAATAAAAAGATTGGGGTGGCCCAACTATAGATTGACCCCATCAATAGCTAATTTCAGTGGTCCCCAGTAAAGTCAGACGTGTATCAGAGCTGTAGGGAACGTTTTATGGTTGTACATCAATGTAAACTATAGTTGGGACACCGCAAAATAAAAAGATCGGAGTGGCCCAACTATAGATGGGCCAGCCCAACAATGGAAATTACAGTTGGGACCGTCCCAACTATAGTTGGGACAGGCCCAACTATAGTTGGGCCAGCCCAACTGTGGAACTACAGTTGGGACAGGCCCAACTATAGTTGGGACAGGCCCAACTATAGTTGGGACCGATGCGATAGTTGGGGCGTGACATAGTTATACGAGTACAGAACAGAAGCATAGAACATTTTCTTTCCTCTTTATATAAATTGTTTCCCTTTTAACCGCTATACATTTCATTTAACATAATTATGTCGTGCAATGTTTGTTAAGATTGGGCAAAATTCATAAATTGTGCACGTGATATTCCCACCCAATCTTTAGAATGAGCGCTCATTCTTAAGAACGCGTGCTCGTTCTTAAGAATTGGGCGCTCATTCTTAAGAATGCGCGCACATTCTTAAGATTGCGTGATTTTCAAGAATGGGCACAACAGGTCTACTGTCTAAAAATCATGTGAATTTACCTTGTCCCATTCCAACCACTGTTTTATTTTCTCGTCCAACGACTTCTCTCCCGTGTCAACGTGTACGTCCATGATCTTGCACGAGCGTAACCGGTCTCTCCGCGGCGAAAGTCAAGAAGCGAAGGTCTTCTCCTGATTGAATAACACTGGGTGCAGACACTAAGACTTCACACAAGCACGGAATCCTGAAAATTACCGAGCAAACTGTCGAAATTTGCAATATTGCAACAGCCGAACATCTTTTGAGTGAAGCCTAAATGCCTGTCATTTAGCCGTCTGGTACCTGTTGTAAATCATAGCGTTGACGTTGTGCTTTACGAAGTCACCAACCTAAATTACACGCGAGTACGTGCGTGTTCAGCGTCTTGTTTATTTGTGGGTAGCACGCGTGTCAGGCATGCTCGGATATCAGGTCACGGACGGTACAGTCTGCTGACCTGGGGATCTGGATGACCCAGTTTTTCCCGTTAATTTTTTTTCACTCAATTTTACTTATTTTATGTTTTAAGCATCTTCGAAACAGTTGCAATTCCCAACTTGGAGTCAACTACCGGTTCCATATAAAAATTCAACTACACCCACTAAAATATAAACATCAACTACACGTTTTAAATAATGTGAAGCTTGACGCATGAGGGCGCTCTTTGTAAAGTAATGGATAACTGGTTCCGAACGAAAAGATCGCCAGCGCAGATGAGTTTATCTGCACGGGGGGATGGGAACCAGTGCAGTATATAAATCAAGATGGCAGCCTCCATGAAGTATATCCCACGTGAACAAGACGGACTTATTCTAGGTGGGAAACCTATACAAATGACGATATCAGTGATTAATGAAACTGACAATTTATCTTTAATAGGAAACAGAGTTCTTGGGAAGAATGCAGTATCCCGATGCCACTTTTCCCTATCGGTATAGGCCTATAATATATTACCGCATCAATCGATACATAATTACATTTTGCATTTTGGATGTTTGAGGGCGCTTTTCTTGTGGGAAACTAAAGAAACATAAACACGACCCCCCCCCCCCCCACCAAATATGAACGGGCTAAAAAAACAGATTTAAGTTTGTTAGATAATACTATAAGTTATAATAAGTATAATTTACTTACTACTAGAATGTTTTTTGTATCATGTATGACTCACAGTTGAATGAATGGCAAATGGGCATCGGATAATCTAGACCCGTGATCGATCTCTACAAATACTCTAGTCCCACTAACTGGGGCGCTAGACCTCCTTTTTTGACATTTCGCAAGTTGGTCTGTTGTAGACTAGCGTCCCATGTCAAAGACGAAGTAGGGCTTCAATGATACAATTATTTTTTGGGTTTCAAATCCGTGAAATTCAGCCACTATAGCACAGACTTCATACAGCGATCATTCAATATTGATGTTGCTGTTATTTTTTGCAATGCATTGTCTATGCACGTAGCGCGACCGTGACCTGAGTAAAAAAAAAAACTCCTCGTGTAGATCGGGGGATGCACCAACGACTGTTTCATGACAAGGCAATTGAAACATTGAGAATGCTTCTGCAGTGGGATGCTAGTATGACAGACCAACTTCCTAAATGTCAAAAAAGGAGTTCTAGTGCCCCAGTTAGTGGGACTACAGATAATTCTTGAATCTTATAATCTTGCTCATCGCTACATCTCCACCTCCCCCCAAATATATATTTATATAAAAAAATATTCATTGTGGATTCCCCATTCCATTGCAGTAGGAATATTTTGATTTGAAGATTTGTCTGGATATTCTCTTAAACTACCAATACTGATCCTGGTTATTTATATTATTGACAATTTTAACGTCTACCTACAGCTAACTTCACCCACGGAAGGTTGAATGTACCCGAGGAAGGTGGCTCTTCTGAGACTCCCAATTTCAAATGCTATAAACACACAGACCAAGGAGACAAGAGAAGGAAACACCAGCGAATAGTCGTGAGTGGATTGCCTTATACTTTTCAAAAGTCAAGGCAGTTTAACATTGTTATGATCAAGCAAGAAGAAAAGAGTTTCATTTGAATAAAAATTGGGAAAGATTTCCAAATACGAAGTTCACGCAACACCCTGTGTACAAACCCTATGAGATTGGACTGAAAAATTCTAAGTGTTTTCTAAGAAAATGCTTGTATTTTCTCACTGCTCAAATTGACTTTGATGACATGAAATTGCTATCTGGGGGCTTGTTAGTCAATACAGAGGAAAATTAGTGAACTTCGTATATGGTAATCTTGCCAAAAATTGTTTAAAAATTTTAAAACTTCGTATATGGTAATCTTGCCAAAAATTGTTCAAAAATTTTAATTAATTTAAAACTGGTTTGGTCATATATTGATGAATACTTTTTTTATGTTGTCGATTTTCAGGTTGCTGAGTCAAACTCCATGAATTATGTTGGGCAAAATTATGGTATACATGCTCCAAAACACAGCTCAAATTGCAAGTAAGTTGATATAAATTCATTTTGAAACCAATCTGCAAAAGTGTATAAACATATTTAGCATTTACAGAAAAAGTGCCCATTTTGTTGACATCACGTACATGTACTTTCCCATAAATTGGTTTCTTGTTATATTCTCTTCCACAGATATTTAGTTGGGGTTCTGGACAAGAAGCGTGGTAAGATGAAAGTATTTGATGCGCAGTCGTTTCATCTGCGGCCGTGGTTTGGAGAAAGCAAAGGAGACGAGGAAAGTGTTAATGCAACAAACAATGAAAAACTGTCGACGCTTCAAAAGGTATGTGTTCTTGTCAGATGTGGGTTCAGATATTAGCTGAATAAGCACAATTTCTGGGCATTCCTTAACAGTTAGCAGAAAAGTTGTGCTAACCTGAAGCACTGTTTCTGCTGGTCTATGATGCCATTGTCTTTAATTCTCAATAGCAAAACTTCTTTTGCATAATAATTTGTTGACCAATTTTTGCAACGAGAGATTTACAAACCAATATTGATGAAACTCATTTTCTTTCTCGACTCTTTAACAGAATGACAGGTTAACGGAAGCTTTTGGGAGCTCACGCAAGCAGCGTGCGTTGGAGTCTCGGCTCCGCAGCGCCGTTACCTCCCAGGCCCTGGAGACACTGGCCAACAAGGCAGTCAAGCATGCCCAGTCACAACCCGCGAGTGCAGTGAAACCTGGTAAGTGTTTTCCATAACCCTGACCATTTTTATTCTCCTTGGCACCCTACTGTTTTTAACAGAATCCATCAACAAATTGTGCAGCTCGCTGAATTCAATAGTTTACAGCAGTTAACATTTTGCGTCTTTTGATCTCTACCCAGATCAACTGAGTGCATTTAGCATAGTTTAGGTTGATTAAGGACAATTTTCAAAATCAACGCAACTTCATTACAATGCATTTCAGTGGAAAATACCAGAACATTGTTTGAAGCTTTTGGACAGAACTGCGTGTGGGATAAGTTTGTGATTATTCTGTTCAGTAAGTAAACTCTGTCCCGAGCCAATGTGGCCCATCAGGCTGGCGTTTTCAGTCCGGTTTCAGTAGCATGAAACAACTGAGAATATTTCTGTTCCCCCTGGATGGGATGCCAGTCCATCGCCGGTTACTCCCCAGCTAATGCTGGTACCCATCTATACTCCTGGGTAGAGAGAGGCAAATGGGGATCAAGTGGCTTGCCCAAGGACACAGCGTATGGCCAGCAGCTGGATTCGAACCCCTGACCCTCTGATCATGAGGGTCAGGGGTTCACTAACCCTAACCGTTAGGTGACACTTCCCCACTTGATTATTCTGTTCAGCTGAATGTGAAACACTAGGCTTATCTTCCTATTTCTTGAAACACATGTGAACATTGAAAACAAAATTCATGGAGAAAGAAGACCAGCTGTGAAGATGTTGACAGCTTTTTTCTTCCTTTTTTTTCTTCCAGAGGACGAGGCAGACAGTGGTAGCATCCTTCCCCCACGCAATAAAAAAGCACAGATTCTGAACGATGTCTACGACCTTAATGACAGTATCCTTTGCCAGTGTACAGTTAGGACTGCTTTCAGGACTGAAAACATTAACCCTAACTCCCTAGCATGATTTACTAGGAATCATACCCATCCTGGCAAATTCCAACACCATTATGGGAAACTGCACACACATATTTCTGACTTTGATTCTGGAGGTGTGCCAACCCAATGTAAAAGACTGTCAGTTTAGGGGTACTGTACCCATCCTGACAGATTCCAACAAAACATGCCATTGGGGTTTGATCGATTGAGTCCTGTTAGGGTTCATGCTCCTAGTCTGAAGTCAAAATTCAGAGCAATATGTAAAATCCTTTAAAACCCTGCAGGTCAGTTTCAGGTGAAGGGATGGGTCTTACAGAGAGTCACTGCAACAAGACAACGGCACTGTGGAGAGCAGTGCAGCACAACACTGTGGCAAATTCATGGCTGAATCGGCCTGCTTGCCCTGAGCTTAACCACACAAAAGAATTGCACAGGGATTTGAAGTGTTATCCATACTCCACAGAAGATTACCGCAAAGGAATTTGAAGTGTGGGCGCTAATATAACTCTTTGGGCAAAAGAGGCTTTGCAAACTTGAAGGGTTGTGAAGTGCGGAAGACTATTCAGTAATTTTACAAACACTAAATAGTAGTTAAATTCTTCAGGGATGTGTGGTTGGGTCGGTAAAGAGACTGCACTTTTCATTAGCACAAATCCTTTACTCAAAGAAAAAGTACAATTCTCAGGTAAAACTGCAGCCTTGCTTTTGTTCCAATTTGGCCATTTTTCATGAAAGTGAATCACAGCCAATTAATGGTGGTTGATGTTAAAAATTGAAAAAAAACCCCCCAAAACTACAAAATCTTCTGAAGTCTTGGAATTTCCTCCACCTGTAATTTGACGGTAGTTCGACGTTACTCGTCTAAGTTAATTTCTTTACCTTTGTTGTGTCAGTCATTTCACCCGTGTGTATGGAGATGCTGAGAGAGGTCGCTGATACCAGTGTTTTCCTGGAAGCTACAAAAGAACAGATAACGGAGTGGAGAACAGAGGAAAAGTAATTTTAAATTAGCGTAAAAAATCCTGCTTAAAAAAAATATTTGTAAATTACATTTTCAGTTAAAATCAACTGTGCCATAAACCTCAAGTAGTGTCTTTTACCCAGAATGGTACACAAATACGGAAAAAAAGTTTTACTGAGTGTTTACACTTTGATTTTGATTGAAGTTGGTGGAGAATAGTTTTGAATTTCTTATTTGTAACCCTACTTTTAAAACTTGTCCTTCAGCTTAAAATGAATAATTGCTTGTTATCCTAACAGGTACTGTGACTACATTTTGGGCCATCTGGAGAAACTGCCAACAAAGGCAGAGGATAAACAACAAAGAGTGTGCATCTTAGTATACATGCACTACCTACGCAAGATGTATGCCATTAATCAGAAGGATTTGAAGGCTAAAAAAGGTAAAGGTAGTCAGGGTACAAGACTTGCTCCTGCCAATTGGCCATATTCCTGAGCCAATGAGGTCCAGTCACAAGTTCAGTCACAAGTCCAGTCACAAGTCCAGTCACAAGTCCGGTCACAAGCCCGGTCACAAGTCCAGTCACAAGTCCAGTCTCAAGTCCCGTCACAAGTCCAGTCTCAAGTCCATAACAGGTCCAATCACAAGTCCAGTCACAAGTCCAGTCACAAGGCCAGTCACAAGTCCAGTCTCAAGTCCCGTCACAAGTCCAGTCTCAAGTCCAGTCACAAGCCCGGTCACAAGTCCAGTCACAAGTCCAGTCACAAGTCCAGTCACAAGTCCATAACAGGTCCAATCACAAGTCCAGTCACAAGTCCAGTCACAAGTCCAGTCACAAGTCCAGTCACAAGCCCAGTCACAAGCCCATTACAAGTCCACTCACAAGTCCAGTCACAAATCCTGTCACAAGTCCATCACAAGTCCAGTCACAAGTCCAGTCACAGGTCCAGTCACAAGTCCAGTCAAAAGTCCAGTCTCAAGTCCAGTCACAAGTCCAGTCACAAGCCCAGTCACAAGCCCATTACAAGTCCACTCACAAGTCCAGTCACAAGTCCAGTCACAAGTCCCGTCACAAGTCCCGTCACAAGTCCCGTCACAAGTCCAGTCACAAGTCCAGTCACAAGGCCAGTCACAAGTCCAGTCTCAAGTCCGGTCACAAGTCCAGTCACAAGTCCAGTCACAAGTCCAGTCACAAGTCCAGTCACAAGGCCAGTCACAAGTCCAGTCTCAAGTCCCGTCACAAGTCCAGTCTCAAGTCCAGTCACAAGTCCAGTCACAAGTCCAGTCACAAGGCCAGTCACAAGTCCAGTCACAAGTCCAGTCACAAGTCCAGTCACAAGTCCAGTCACAAGTCCAGTCACAAGTCCATCACAAGTCCATCACAAGTCCAGTCACGAGTCCATCACGAGTCCAGTCACAAGTCCAGTCACAAGTCCAGTCACAAGGCCAGTCGCAAGTCCAGTCACAAGGCCAGTCACAAGTCCAGTCACAAGTCCAGTCACAAGTCCCGTCACAAGTCCCGTCACAAGTCCAGTCACAAGGCCAGTCACAAGTCCAGACACAAGTCCAGTCACAAGTTACAGTGGATGAACAGTAACAAAGAATGCCTTTGTCAAAGCTCATTTGAATAGCTTGTGAGTTGAATTGGGACTGGAGAACTTTTGATGGACTTGTGGTGGACTTGTGATGGAATCGACTACATCCCTTGTCAGTTTAGCGGGTCGTATTATATAATATTGTTTGATCAATATATTAGAGCCAATATTTCATTGAAGGTATGTGAAATGCTTTTGGAGTTATACTTTGCAACAAGTTTCGCGTTGGTTGCCACCATCGTGAGTGTTCATTGAAAGTCACTTTTTAAATAAAGAATTGTTTTCATTTTTGTAGTGGTAGTTGCAGAGGACCTACCAGATGCTTTCAACCAACACTTCTTAGATAACTTCACTCAAATGTCGGCTTCGGTCGATGGGGTCAGAAAGCAGAGGTGGGTGACAAAGACAGCTTGAGAGCATCTCACAAATTTTACATCTTCCTGTCATAAAAAAATTTCATCTTCCAAGATATAACTTTAGAGACACGTATTGGATCATACGTGTAACAGCGTGCAACTTATTGTCTGTGGAGTTAGAAATCAAACAAATGGTTGTATTTTCATTCTTCTGTTCATCTTACATCACTTCATACCGCTGGTTCTTCTCACAGCCATACTTGTATTTTTTCTTTTAGATTGGTCACTTCACTTGTTGTATCCACAGAAATCTCCCAAGTTGCATTTCACATCCCTCTGTTTCTTTTTCCAGATCTTTTCCCCAGAAACTCAAGGAGAAAGTGCTTGTTCGCATGCTTACCCTGGCACTCCTTATAGACGACTTCAAGACGGACTTGGGCCACCTTCAGAAAGGGCTCACCGCCCAAATGTACTTGTAAGTTGAGCATTTATCTTTTGCATCATGAGGGCCGTTTCTATAAAACTGCGGTGATAGAAAGTAAGAAATTACAGTGACATATTGCACAGTTTTGAATGATTTACTAGTAATTTACTTGAGTGATTTACCTTCCTCACTCCTGCAAATTCCAACACTATATGGTAAACTCAACACCCAAACTGTTGGGACTCTGATTATGGTGGTATGCCTGACCCCATGTAAAGCATTAATCACTTAACTAGTGCAGTACCCACTCTAACAGATTCCAACAAACCCCGGTGTTGGAGTTTGACTGGATGGGGATTGTTAGGGTCAATGTTTATGCCAAAAATGAATGAATGGCCCTGTTTACAGCAAGCAGCTCTAATAAACCAGAATGATCTGGTACACGGTACCCTGTGGAGACATGTGCACAATAGGGAACAAACGATTGTATACATCTCCACAGAGCAATTTCTACAGGTGAATACGTCTCCACAACGTTATCACGAAATAGATATATGGATTTTACTCAAAAACTAGGAACTTCCAAGGTGTGTTGATCGTCGCAAATTGAAGTATTTTTATAAGGGATATTATGTCCAAATTTCAGCCCAGGAAATTAATTCTGGTTAAAAACCTGCAACCTATACATCCCATAATGGGAGATTGCTTGCAGTATTGATCCAGATCCAGAAAAGGAGCATTTTGAAACTACACTTTCAAACTTGAAAACTTTAGTACACGAGAACAAAGAAATTACTCCACAAGGATACAAATTCCAGTATGCGTGAACACTCAAGTTTGTGCACAAAAATTGGCTCAGGTTTCTCAGCGCATTGATACATTACTTGAGTGAGCCATATGTATGCAAATGGTATAAACAAGCCCATTGAAACTGTATGATCTAATTTTTAAGCTCTGGCAGGATCTTATACATATCAATTGGTGGTCAGTCGGTCGATCTGTCCTTGGGAAAATTGACCAAAAAGGCCCCTACGTTTCCAGCAAAATATATCTACCAAATTTTAATTTTCAAAAAAAACTAAACAAAATATGTTAAATACTTTACAAAAATTGCTTGTAACAATTTGGAAAGATGTTAATGAAAAGTTTGTAAGTGGAGGCAAAATATGTTCAGCATTGTTAGTCACGTGGTATTTATCACAAATCGCTATAAATCTAGGTACAGATCGGAAGTATGGTGTTGCATATGAAAGGGGAACTCCCAAGCTACACGCCAATGTGACTATAGAGGTCGCTGTTTACATGGGTCTGTGTAAAACAGCGTAGAAAAAACTGCAAAACTTTCATGCAAGACGACCAGAGCTTATTGTGCACTCGCACTTGTTTTCTCATGTGGAATCCTGCTACCACACTTGTGTGCGAATGGGCCTTACTGTAATATTGACCATTCCATATTTGTCCATAAGCCCTGCAACCCTTTGGTTTGTGTACGTATCGCACAGTGCTTGTTACCGTGTTTGTCCAAGCTACTACCATGGTCTCCTGATCAAAAGTTGTTCTCTAAAGAGTCTCTAAATGAGTAAATATGCCCCATCAGGCTGGCGTTTAGTTACAGTGTCCTTGGCATGAAACTACTGAGAATGTTTCTATTCCCCCTGGATGGGATGCCAGTCCATCGCAGGTTACTCCCCAGCTAATGCCGCTACCCATTTAAACCTCTTGGTGGGAGAGAGGCAAGTAAGGGTGAAGTGGCTTACCCAAGGACACAACATGTGGACAGCAGCTGGACTCGAACCACTGACCCTCTGATCATGAGTCACAAAACCTAACAACTAAGCCACACTCCCTCTTTTTTGTAAGTCAATTTGGTTGGAGTAAACAGCAAGCACTTACCCTGTCTGACAATTTTTTACATTTCAGGTTCAGGAATCACGCGAGAGCTCTTGGCTGTAAGGTCAAAGTCACCAGCGCTAAGGTCCCCAAGGTGTCTAGGAAACTAGGCGTCCATCCACTACTGGCGGCTCCAGAGGAACCCAAACCTCCAGCTGAAGATCAGATCACGGCTGAGCTGATCCTACCCAGCAAATTCACAAAGCAAAAGCAAAAGTTTAAGCGATGAAGGGGAAGGTAATGTTTTTTGGGTTTTTTTTGCTTCTTTTAACACCAAATGTTATTGCCTTGTTGTAGCTTATTTGAGTAAACCAGGTGAAAAGGATAAGGTGAACATTTCATGGATCTGCTTAGCAGGGATGTAGTCGAGTTCATCACAAGTCCATCTCAAGTCCAGTCACAATTCCATCACAAGTCCATCACAAGTCCATCACAAGTCCATCACAAGTCCATCACAAGTCCATCACAAGTCCATCACAAGTCTATCACAAGTCTATCACAAGTCCAGTCACAAGTCCATCACAAGTCCATCACAAGTCCATCACAAGTCCATCACAAGTCCAGTCACAAGTCTGTCACAAGTCCAGTCACAAGTCCAGTCACAAGTCCGTCACAAGTCCAGTCACAAGTAACAGTGGATGAAAAAATAACAATTGAATGCTTCCATCACAAGTCCAGTCACAAGTCTGTCACAAGTCCAGTCACAAGTCCAGTCACAAGTCTATCACAAGTCCATCACAAGTCCATCACAAGTCTATCACAAGTCTATCATAACAATATCACTATCATAACAATATCACAAGTCCAGTCACAAGTCCAGTCACAAGTCCAGTCACAAGTCCAGTCACAAGTCCGTCACAAGTCCAGTCACAAGTAACAGTGGATGAAAAAATAACAATTGAATGCTTCCATCACAAGTCCAGTCACAAGTCTGTCACAAGTCCAGTCACAAGTCCAGTCACAAGTCTATCACAAGTCCATCACAAGTCCATCACAAGTCTATCACAAGTCCATCACAAGTCCAGTCACAAGTCCAGTCACAAGTCCATCACAAGTCCATCACAAGTCCAGTCACAAGTCCAGTCACAAGTCCGTCACAAGTCCAGTCACAAGTAACAGTGGATGAAAAAATAACAATTGAATTCTTCCATCACAAGTCCAGTCACAAGTAACAGTGGATGAAAAATAACAATTGAATGCCTTTGTCAAAGCTCATTTGAATAGCTTGTGAGTTGAATAGGCTTGATTCACGAGTCGGCCATATTAAATTGAAAACGAGGTAAAATCTTCAGTTTTGGAACTTGTGAATAGAAATGAAAGTAATGACATAAAGTTAATTACAATAGATACAACAAAAATTAAAGTGAGGCTTGGGATGTATAAATAGTCTGGCACCATCCCATTCAACAGTATACAATTTATAAAATGCATTTAGGGAACACGATATTGGGACTGGAGGACTTGTGATGGACACGACTACGGCCCCGCTGCTAAGTACAGAATATGCAATGTAAAGAACTTATGAGTGGTCTTCGGCTGAAATGTGCTTCGTAGTTGAAACATAAATTGCTGGGGAGCGTATTCTGTTTTAGTAGTTCATGCTAAACTCATGTGCAGTTGTGTTCTTGAGCAGGAGGGTTTGCTGTAATGAACTTCTCTTCACACAAAAGCAAATGTGGTATAAATGTGGTTGATTTGTGTGTCATTTAGCAGTGTACGCTCCAGAGAAAATCAAAATCTCTTAAGTCTTTATCTTGACTAGAGTTAATTATAAGAATTGTAAGGCCTTTCACAGATTGAATTCAAGCATTTCTATTCAGAGTTGTCTTGAACTCTCCACTGCATAACAGAGATATAAACATCTGTGCTAAATACAATTTAAATTTTTCATAGTGAAGTTACTTAAAGGCACATGGGAACATCGGTAATCATCAGAAAAATAACCATCAATTTAATGAGAAAAACCTTGCTCAAAGTGAGGATAGGACTGGTAACCAAATACCCTTTGAATTTACTTCTTGAAATGCTTCGAAAGAAAACAATCATTAAAGCTGGTTTAATAAAAGTGGGCCTGTGGGCACATTTTTTTGCATGCACTGGCAATGGAATGCAGTTACGAGACCAACAAAAATTGTGCATTATAGTTTGTTTTCTTAAAATTGATAGTATCCACCGAGCTGAAACTTCAACAGGTCGGTTGTTAAACACCCGTCTTTAGATTTTGAGCACCTTTGTTGCTTCAAACTAAGTAAAAATGCTTAGAGACCACATGATCTTATTTACCTTTAAGGTCTCAGTCACTCTAACCATTCTAAATCCTGTTAGATCCAGCTCCTGCATGGTGTCTCATGAATTTGGAAGATTTGGGGATTTTACCGGCCCGGTGGGCATGACTTCACACATAGGTTTTCAGATTCTGTAGAAATATAAGAATGTGAGTGTTTACTGCACGGGATCGGATTGAGCAGGATTTAGGAAGTGCTCTCACAGAAGTGCCTGGAGAACGAGGGTAATGTAATTAAATAAGTTAGTAGGTTATGAGAATATATCTAATTTGCATTCTATAAATTTTGGGGTCCACGTTTTTTCCTGTCCCTGTTACATCTGACATCTGTGATTTTGTAATTCTGATGCACTCCTTAATTAATGCAGCCATCCTCCAAGAGTGAGTATGTGTGATCTGATACACTGTGCCCTCTGGAGACATGCACACAAAAGGGAACAAAAGATTGTATACGTCTCCACAGGGCAATTTCTATAGATGAATAGATCTCCACAAGGTTTCACGAAATAGATATATGGATTTTACTCAACTAGGAATTTCTAAGGTGGAAGAGTTTTAGAAAAGGGATATTAAGTCCGAATTACAGCCAAGGAAATTAATTCTGGCTAAAATAAGAGCATTTTGAAACTACACTTTCAAACTCGTAAACGTTACTACACAAGAACAAAGATGTGTCTCCAGAAGGACACAAATTTCAGTATATGTGAATAGCAAAATGCCTACACAACAAATAAAGCATATGAAGTCATTCTTAATGATACTTGAATGGCAAATTGCAAAGTACTAAGGTAGCACGGACAGGAAAATGTCACACTTTGAAGCCTAAATGAACAGAATGACCATGTGTTATGTTTGCATCAATTGTTAAGGCCGAGGAAATATATTTTTAAATAACATATTTTGTAAACTGTTAAAAAAAACTTGGCCCCTTTTGTTCACAAATCAAAATTGGCTTGTGTTATGAGAGATTTACACGATGTAACGGTAGGACCTTGATTAATTTTCCTACCGATCAGGAATCATTGAAAAGGAAAACAGTACGACCTGAACGGAGATTTTTAGAGTTTAATTTGTGGGCTGATTCCTGGGTTTTATATTACATGCCTTTTCCAGATGTTTGATGAAAAATGATGTCACAAAATAGGTCTGTAGAAGATTTTACTCGGGTTCTGATATTTTGCTGGAGCGTTTAGTGGGTGAAGCTATCATCAGTGGGTTCGGGGAGATTTAAAGGTTGTGCTGAACTTTTGAAGCAAAAGTACTTTGTTAAAACCACAACATTATCACAGCACTTGCATTTGGTTGTTAATTTCATTTGGTTAGTAAGATAAGATCTGAATAATGAATTAGAAAAAAAAAACTATTGTTGCAAGGAAGATTTTTCTTAAATTTGATATTAATGAAATAAGTTTTAGAGAGGCCTGATACAGAATTTACATATATGTAAAATCATTTCTTGATGTCGTGCCTTATTGAACCAGTTATGGTCTTAAATATGTCAATGTCTTTAATTCATTTCTGAGCTATTATCAGAAATTATTAGGCCAAGAGGATCTTAAAATTACAGGATATTGAGAGAAACAAAGAAGTGCGCTGTGTGGATGCTTTTCTTGTTCTGAAAAAAAATGCTGAAGTGGTAAAAAAATTTACAAACTATTTTTGACAATGGATATATCATTTCTCTGAGGAGGGATACACAAGGATTTTACAAATGATTTACATGTAAATTTATTTAAATGGAGATATTGCCACCGGATATATATTCCGTTTACAGATTTCAGGATTTTGTTTTGCCATTTTTAACAATCGGGCATTGTTATTATTTTTTGTTAGACCCAGTCACACAGCCCAGTTGTACATTAATTATTGAATAACAAGATAAGGATTGTCTTAAAGGGAATGTACAACATCTGCTTTCGCTGCAGTTTTCAGAAATAAATGGATTTGGAGGATTAGTATGTTATAGCAGATATTGTTTAACTGACTTGTTTCACGTTTTGGGCTTGTAGATGCTGGAAAAACCAAGAAAAACCAAGAAACCCAATCATGTTCTTGTAGTCTGGTTCCCTGACCCCACTTGAGATGAAACAGAGCAATTTATAGACTTTTGGGAATTGTAAGATCAAATAATCAGTCTAGCAGGCTTGTACCCCTTCACAGGTGTGTAATCAATTGCAGAGAAAATGCGGAATAAATAAATATGAAAAACTAGGAGCAGTTTTTGAAAAAAAAGCCATTTTTTTTTAAACGCTGGTTGGCTGACCAACGTTGGAAAAATACAGTTTTTCTTGAAAATGTCAGCACACCAGGAGCCATGATTTTACAGGATGCTTAAGACTGTCATTCCCTAACAATCCAGTAAGGTATTTCGTGATAAATCTGATCATTTCGTTTTTTGATGTTTGCAAATGTTGTATCTCCCCTTTAACAAAATTAACGGATTCAAGATCAAGAAAAATTGGAATGCCGACTGCCATACGCAGTCGAGTGATTGTTCCATTCACCCGTGAAGCCAGTCGTCATTCAGCCTTCCGTTGACTGACTCACCAAAAATGCCCTGTTATGTCGGAGACGCATGTAACGTCAGGCGCTGCCCTGCTGAAGGTGTGAAACGGAATTATCTAATCAAATTCCAGGCACGAGCGGCAGGAAGGCTGTTGTGTTGATATTGTCCCTGGGCTTTTTTTCTTGTCGTTGTCGACCTCTGATTTGGGCTCAGGCAGTTGCTGCTGTAGTGCATTTTCTTGTGTTGGATAATTTGATTGTCATGAAATGAAACCCCCTTTTTTTTCAACCACATGTCTGTGAGTGCATTCATTAGATTTTCTCACTGGAGCTGCACCCACAAGATGTCAGTTTACCTGATAGAGTGAAACTAAAAGTTGCTTAAATTAAAGGGGCATGAAATGAATTTTTCTTAGCAACATATTTTGTGCAACTTTCTATTCAACTTAAATGTATAACAACTATTTGACATCCCTTTTTGGTATATGTTGTTGCAAAAAAGTGCACTTCTTTAAACATTTCAAAATAATTCCATGCTTTTCCAGACAACTGAGGGTGCTGTTGATGTGATGTGATTTCAGGAAGACACTTGTTCAGTGAAGGGGTTTTCTGTTGAAATTGTGAACCCAAAAATATGCTCATTGAAAATATTTGTGAGAAAAGTTTGCTCATTGGCTTACTGCCGTGTACTGACACGACGACGAATCGCCACAGAAAAGAACATTTTTGACAAAAAAAAACAAACCAATGGTGAATTGACTGAAAATTGTACATACTTGATGAAAGTAGGTACATGTAAGCCGAAAATGTGTAAGGGTTGCATACGCATTTTTTTACCATAAAGTATTTGGGGGGGGGGGGGTTGAGATTCAGGGAGCAAGCCAATAGGACCACAGAACAGAGCGGATCTTGTTACGACTCAACATTTTTATGTTTGATTTTCCCTGAACTCGGCTAAAAGCCACTCCAGATACAGGGCTACAAGAGAAATAAATAGGAGAGTAGGTACTCGGGAAAACTGAAGGTAGGAGTTAACATTCCACTTGAAAAAGGGCAGATCATAGGTTGGAGGGAAACAAGCACCAGGCAAGGAATTCCAAAGCGATGCAGCAGTTTGGAAAAAAGCTATTGGAATATCGACGTACGAGAAGTACACGATTGCTACACAAACATGCAGGGAATCGTTACGATTTTCTCTGTTGCTTTATTTTGCACATTGCTCAATATTATAAATAATCTTGCTTTCACTTTTTAAGTAAACATTTCAGATATTAATTTTACACATCTATATTTACATAGATTTGTATGCTCAACTGTTATACATGTATATGATTGTCATTACACACATTATGTATTTATTAAAACTCATTTTTGTAAACAATGCCAATATAAATCAAAGAATGAAAGTGTGTGGCACTGAAGCTATCATTACAGAAGTTTTGAGTCAATTCAGATGCATGGAGAAATTAACACACTTCAATAAGTAAAATGACATTTTAACCCTTGACTTTATTCCAAATAAAATGATAAGTCTGGAGCAGTTGATCATGTACAACTCCGTGATGTAACTACTAAGCTCCGTAGTCAGTCAGGACACAGCTAGTTTTAAGCGAGAGGTTAAAAATGGTCTAGGAAGATTTGCATTTATGATATATTATGATTATATATTATGTCTGCTTTGCTGACACAGTGTTTAGTCCACTGTACTTGTGGAGCCTACAACTTAGCTACAATGCAGCTAACTTTACAATTTGCTCGTGCAGCAAACAGTTGGACAGACTTCTTGGCTTTGCAATTTGAAATTTGTCTTAATCAAGAATGGTTTTAAAAAAAAGTTACTCATATGAACTAGACATCATGCATTCTGGTCATGTAATTGGCAATGCTACACTGCATCAGCCATTATCTTCCGAGACTGAAAAAGGGAATCTTCTCAAATGGATAAAAAGTACTGCTTAAAGTTGATAGCAATTAAAGCTAAATCTGCCAGTGTTCCATTACCTACGGTATTGCAATCATAGTCAATATTTATACACCGTCTTATCATTCATAACACGGCATTCGGTTTATCTCTCGCCTCCTTCCCAACACCTGATTCAATGGTGCCCGGGGGAATGGCTACCGAGGATGGAATTCATGATTTTCTGTACGATATTGGCTGCTTATATTTGCTCTTTGCCGGGGAAAGCCCCTTGTAGAAGCTCAAATGACTACCCATGAGACGGACAGCTAGTATGAACAGCTCAATATTACTGAATCTGTAAACACCCACATCTTGCAAAATGGTACTGTGTGGACATTGGAAGGGGTGGAACGTTTCTCTGGTCCTGTTGGGTTTACTAAAAGAGATTGCACTATGAATGTCAAGTCTGGACGTGTCTTTCACCAAGCTGACGGAATACAGGTTGCTTGCATTTGATTTGTTTGCAACTATATTTCCTTATCTGTGAATGTGATGTGTTCTGTCAAAAACCGACTCTGGACAGCTGGTCCAAAAAGGTATTTTTTTTACTACCGGTAGTATTTTTACAGAATTCTTGCCTTTAACAGTGACAGTTAAATTAACCCTCCTGTGCAAACCCACATTCTATAATCAATGAAGTGACTGTTTTCAACAGTAAAGAGCTCCCAGACTACGTAAAGGAGGATTGACTGGCTGTGACTGTTTATGTTACTTTATAAACCCTGTGCTTTGACTGTAGGTGATTGATAAGACAACTGTGCCACCAGTTCCTGCTTTTGTCCGTTGACTGAATTTGACTAGTCAGAGTGCTTGCTTAAAAAAACTATCTGACTGTTTGTGACTAGCCTGTGTAAAAGGCATGGCAGGGGAAGTGGATGGAACTTTTGACTGTCTGTGACTGTTCAAACAGTAGGAGGGTTAATGAAAACGGACTTCCCTTTGGCAAAATTATGCTCATACGAAGTTTGTAATTTCACCAAGGTGTAAACAGAGAAATTACGCAGTCAGGGTTCAAGTTATGCATTTCTTGAACCGACACACCTCTCCAAAATCATTTCAAAAGTCCCTTCGGAGACAAAATTATCGTCAGAAACCTTTACAGAACTTTACCCTGTAGACATATAGGATCATTCACCTCCACATTGAAAAAAATTATGCCACATCTTAATTTTGGATGAATCTTTATTTCAAGATCAGCCTCAAAGTGTCTGGTTTTGACAGAACGCGTCACAAAATTGAAGACTTGATCTGCTGTTAGCTATTGCCGTCCCTCCTCATGAAAGGTGTATTGATGGGTTTATCTGCCGAGCGCCTTCTTTTGTCCAGATTCCATCCCGGGTTGTGGAACGTGATGTTGTATTTCATGGCCCAGCGTTGGAAGATGGCTTTTTCGGTCAGGAACCGGTGTCCGCCCTTTTTGGTGTACTCGTTGGCTTTGTAGTGATCGCACTCGCTGGGGCCCCACGAGGTCTGCCAGTAGTGGTAGCGGACTGGCTTGTGGCTGTATTTCCTGGATAATAATAATAATCATAATGGATATAGGCTTTTATCTAAGATCAAAGTGCTTTACATTATTATTCCCCTGATCATTGGGCCAACTAATAAACATTCCCAAGAAACTCTTGGTTCCCTGGGGAGTACACAGCTTGATGCTACCATTTCGGCGCAAAGCAGTTACAATCAATCACAATAACTATCTCTGCCCTCACAGGTACCCATTTTACTCCTTGGTGGGAGCATTCCTTCCTCCATGGTGGGAGATGCATTGAGTGACAAAGTGGCTTGCCCAAGGGCACACACACCACAAACCCAGGCCGGATTTGAACCCACAACCTGCAGACTATGAGTTCAATGCTCCAGACCATGAGACTATGAAAAAAACCAAATTGTTAAAAATGCTCTTTGTTCATCATTTGTGGATTGTTTTTTTTCACAGACACTAGAAAACCAGGGGAAATGGTGAAAATGACAGGATAACTTTGATTGTTTTTATATTTACTGTAAAAGTTTGAAGGTTTGTAACATGTTGACGTCGCTAGTAATTTTCAAAGCGTTTTTCTTAGCCTTTGAGAAAGTTATATTGAATGAAACAATAGTCCTTCTAACAAGACAACAGTGCCAACCAACTTACAAACAATGAAATAAACATTCAAAAAATGCAGGACGATGTCTGCAAAAACTAGGATGGGGCCACACCATCATTTTTGTTGTTGTTAGATTTTGTTTTTGCATGATTTACAAGGTTGGGTAGGGTAATAGGTATTTTTTTGTTGGCCTTAGTGTTCGATAAACAAAGCTCCTGCATTAGACCATCCAATTGCTAAATGTGTTGAGAGAATGGAAGGTGTCAAAAAGCATCCTCCCCCTAAGGAATCACTGTCAACCTCATCAACACTTCAATCAAACTAATTGAGTTTGCTGACGGGATTTCATCGTTTAGTGCCAATTAGGTTGCACGCTTTGCAAAACCTCGTCAATAATACAAGTGCGTAAGCGCCATTAATGCAGACATTAATTAGGTGACTCATCTAATGGGGACATTTATTATTAATGATTGGACACGCACTGTTTGGCCATGCCTGTGTTTACTCTGACTGAGCTTGAGAAGCTTGCCTGTGATCAATCAGCCATGAGGTGATAATTACCAGATGGCCTCGTTAAGCAAACCTCGCTTAATTATTGGGTTAGCGGATGTGGAAGAATGTTGTTTGGTTTACATATGTGAAAGAATGTTCCTATCCATACTGAAAACAGAGATGTCTAATTATTAAGTATGACCATTGGGGAGGGCAGTAAAAATGCTAACGTGTATCAAAGGTGAGACAGGGGAAATGAAAAATCCACAAAAATAATCCGAAGAGGAATTGAGGGTCACTGGGGGCCCAAGGGTTGCCGAGCAATATAGGGTCTATGTTTGTATTTGTCTCAAGGCAACCCTTTCAATCCGGTTCGTTAGTGTGACGGTTCATTTTAAACCACGCACACTGGCCATTAAGTAGCATTGGAAGTTGGAACCAGAAGCTAACGCAACTTGAGTGTTAGTATTAGTAATCAGTGGTGCGCGCCCGTGTTTGACATTTTTAATAAACAACCAGATACTTATTTGTTTTGTTCTATATAAAGGTTCGTAGGTAAAAACACCTTTGCGGTAACGCCATTACTGAGGGCTTCTGAGTGTTCAGTGATTCTCTTTTGCATAATTTTTTAACTGAAAAATAAATAAAACTGCTCCAAACTGCTTACAGACTGGATTGAACTGAAATATACTATAGGCCATCAGCCTCGGTCCAAAATTTTGGCCACCGGTATCAAATGAGGGGAATAATCGTCATAGCGATTTTTCGCAAGGTATACACCTCCAGAGTTGGAAAATATGTGTTATAGCATTGCAGCGGTGGCAGCTTTTTGGGTACTATCACCCTTTTTTTCAAAATGTCCATCAAAATGCTTGTTACCACTCTGGGGGCAGTATACCTTGCGCATGCGCACTATAATCATTTATGCCCTGATTTGATACTGGCCAAACCCCCAGGCTGATGGCCTACTAAATCAACAAATGAGAGGGCCTAATGATTGCTAGCAGGATCGTTCTCAGAGGCAATTTGAGTTGTTTGTTTGTTTGACGAAGCAACCATTTGCTCGCTCTCTCTGGGATTGTTGCTATAACACTTGTATTTAGTCTAGCTTTTGAGATTTTCTGGATTTAATACCTGCAATGGTCGTCAGGCACCATGCCATAGACGTGAATCTCCTCACACATGTCGATGGCTAGCATCATGGTAAACCAGCCGGTGGATAGCCAGGAATTTGTTTTTGCCCTGTCAGATGAAAAAACAAAAACAAAATATTCTCATTATCATCCAGGATGGACTAGAATAATATCTCAAGAATACATCACCTTTTTGTCCTTTGATGCTACAGATGCTTATGAATGCACAGCAGGAAATTATGTGATTGAGGTTTTCCGGAAATGAGAATTCAATGGAAATCTAATTAATTGGCGTTTGGGGGTTTTGGTTTAGTTCTTGATATGGTTATTCACAAATACAGCAAGAACAAAGAAAATGAGATATCTAGTTAAAAGTTTGTACATACAACATATTGACTGCATCTGTGAGGAGAATTGTAAGGGAGTCAATTATAAGCCAATGGCAAGGCAAGTCATATGTCAGGTCTACAAGTAACAGGGATGAACAGTGAGTATGCCTTTGTGACTTCATTTAAATAGTTTAAGACTTGACTTGAGACTAGTACTGCCAGGGACTTGTCTTGACTTGTGATAACTTGGTAACAAGTCGGTCAGTAGGTAGTCTTGGTTTCATGCCTGATTACCTGTCCTTCCCAGTTTCACTCTCAAACAGCCTGACAGCCTCTGTCTCCCCGGCATCGTCCAAGGAGTAAAACTCGGCGTCGTACCCCTTGGCAAGCATCTGTACCCTCTTCAGTGCCTCCTTGTGTTTAGGGGTGTTCAGACCCCAGAACAGATACCTCTCGGCCTGCTGGGCCCCTGTGAGGAGCTCTGAGGCCTTGGTCTTCAGCCCCAGCGTCGAGATAAAGCAGATGATGCGAATCGTCGTCTTAAAACCCACGTCCACCTCGAAGCCCTTGGTGGGTGCGACGTTCATGCGGAGGATGCAGGAGTGGCTGTCGATTTGCCGGCCTGCTCGCTGGTGTAAAAGCTGGCCGGAGCTGGACACCAGAGCGCACGTGTTGCAGTGGAAATCCAAAGGCTACATTGGGTGGGATAAAAACCCAATAAAGAACATTCAAACACTGACAATAATCCTCAAGACATATTAAAGAAACCTCACTGAATACTTCAAGATCAACCAGTGGGTAGGAACCCAATGGCAAATTCCTTGTACTTTAATTTTCAAGGGGCTTCAAGTTTCATGTAATGTGATATTTTTTAGAGCAATGCTTTCCTAAATCTTGCAAAATCCTATAGTTTGGTTGTGGTATCGCTGCTATATCAGATTTGAACCAGCCAGCCGACCCCGGCTAAGACATCTGCACCAGTAAGCAAGAGGTCGTGGGTTCGAGTCTAACCGGAGTAGTTTGTGAATGTTTTCTCACAAACACAATTAGTATAAAGTGTTAATTACGTCAGTGAAGGGCACAACCCAATATTGAATGTGCAAAATCCTTCAAAAATCTTCTTAGAGATTTCGAAGGGTCTGGAAGGATTCAGATAAGCACGACTGGTTACTGGTTTTCTGCATAGTGTACTCTTTAATGTACCACTTGATCCATTAAATGTGTGCCGTGTTATGCATATTGACTCTACATATTTCATGACACTGAGTGTAATATTATGCATACTGCATGAGCGGGGCTAGGATTCTGCAGACAAGCTGTCTACCGTATGATGATTTATTATTGTAGCTCCCTCATCAGATGACTTATTTGCATGCATAGTGTGAGCATATTCATTTAATGCCTTTGCCCAGTCATAACATCACCCAAGATGAGCCAATAAATCATGTCAGTCGGGAGGGGGGTGGGGGGGGGGGGGGCCAAGACCTTCTTGAAACAAATTTAATATATTCATAGGGTAAATTACTTGTGTCGGGGTGATGTAAATTCAATATTCTTATTTTTAATTTTTTTTTCACAAACACTGTATACTCAGTGTTGTCCCGAGTGATTGAGAGAAAAATCACTCGGCTGGAACTCGAACCCACGCCCTGCTGCTTACTGGTGCATACATCACTCGACCACCGAGCTTGCCAGGGTCGGCTGGCTGGTTCGAATCAAATATAGCAGCGGGTATCACAACCAAACTATTCATGAGATGGAATTTGCGTCAGGGTTTATGTAAATTCAATATCGGTTTTGCCCTTCACTGACGGATTGTTATTATTTTTATAAACACTGTATACTCCTGTGTGTCCTGAGTGATTTTTCTCACTACAGTGTTTATAAAAACAATTGAAAATACACAATATTATAATTTTGGTGAAGGACGAAAACCCAAGATTGAAACAAATTTTATGTTAATATTTTCATGACTAATTCTGATAAACTGCTACAAAATGCACACATTTAGAAATGACGCTATTGCAGCGAAATAAAATTGTAAAAACTGAAATAGCATGTAAAAGTGTACGATTTACCCTTGAGTATATCAAGCAGGAAACCAAGTAATTTCAACATCCCCTTCTCCGCAAGTCAAAGTTCAAACTAAGGTCACGGATGTGAATCATAAGATTCCTCTCGTTGTTGTTTGAGCTTTATAACTTCTGCTGAAGTTAACTTACGTAAAATAATTTCATGATAATGTAATAAAAATAATGCAGACTTCTTTGTATCATATTATTCCCATTAAAAAAAAGAAAAGGAAAATTGCCACTGAGCATTCCACATTTACCACAGTAATTTAAGTGAAATAATCAAGTCTCTTTATATTCATGACATTGAAATAAGATTCGTTTGACGGGTCATGTTGTTGCAAGCAATCCGTGAGTTTGTATATTTTTCGGCCGAGTCGTGACAGCAGAAAGTCCCCGTATATCGCAGAAGAGTGGTCAACCTGAAAGGTTAAACGGATACGCTTAACTTGACGTAGCTGAGGGCTATGTTTGCCGTGGCTTGCAAAATTTCATTACACCGAAGCTTGGAAAAACACGCGCACGCCAAATTCAAATAACTATGCCGCGGGGAAGGTGTGCTGCACTAGATAAATGTGCTGAGGTTAATTTACGCGTCCTATTTGTGGTAATTATGATAAATGGAGATGGCTTGCAGATGTGGAAAAGAACATGTGTAAACATGGGACACTGGCCAAGGCTGAAATGTATTGGGATAGGAGTTTGTTTCTAAGTGTTATATCTTTTAATGACAAACCTGTGAATCAGAATAAATTTTAAAACGAAATCGGCAAAAGCTTTCCTACCTGTAAATCTACCATTGACTTGTAATGCTGCTGGACCGAATGAAGCCGATCGTCTCTACTTCTGAATTCCGAAATGTTAATGTCTTTGTTGCCGTGGCAACCCTCGTCTCGATTACTCCCGCATTCGCCCCTCTCGTGGTTTTCACTCTGTTTCTTTGATCCTTGATCGTCTTTGGACTTTTTGGAGAAGATAAAGTCGGGCGTGTCATTATGCGGAGGGGATGGCGGCGTTAGAGCGCTGCCTCCGTGGATTCTTCTCTGGGTGAGGTTCAGAAGATTGATGGAGAACCTGCCGCCGTCTTGGAGGGCCCTAATGGTTCTTGTGGAGTTCAGGATAAGCATGATGACGAGACTGGCCACAAACGAGTACAGGATGAGTGCTGTTAGAAATTTACGGCTTCGCTGATTGAGGGAAACATTGGAAAACAAAAAAAATAAATCAGCACTGAAAACATTAAAAGAATGAGAGAAATGTGACCATAATATTTATTTTGGATAATCATTTGAGATTTTCTTGAGATCAAGTGTAGCTTCTTGACCAAATTGAAATTCTTTGTGGCTGTCAGTTTCTGCTATGTAGACTTAAATGTTTCTCCTTACATTTTTGGAGGAGTATTTATAGCTAGTTCTTGATTTAATGTTTATAATAAATAACAGCGTAGGGCAAGGGTGACAAAAAGGGAAGCACGTAGTAGTTTAGGACACAACAAGTTGAAATGAGCTGTCAACATCAATTTCTAAATATAAGAAATCTTTCTGTAAGGGAATTCTTGCATGTTTGACTGTGAAAACAAGGAAGTTATAATTTTGGCAAATTATGTTGCTTCCACTTCCAACATTATCTGTCGTACACAAATCTTAAACAAGCCCTCAGGAGGGGAAAAGGGGTCAAAATAAAGTTGAGAATTTCATTAGCAAAGACGGACGTTTGTGCATGCCGTCAAAAAATTTAGAAAAGGAAATGTTTTGTTCAAACTTACAAGGAAGATGCATGAAGAGGTAGATGGCCTTACTTCGCTCTCCATATTTTTAAAATTTAATCGGCTCAAATCCACGGCCTGAGAAAATAGAGGGAAAAAAGGCTCAAAGTAATTTGATTTTACAAAGAGTAGTGTAGTGTCCAGTTAATATGAGAAACCTGTAATGATGTTCAAATCCCTGACAACAGTTAATTTACATATTTAGTAGCTTTTAGTCTTACACAAGAGAATTTGCTTATACTCAAAACTATATATTGATAGAATAATTTACATCTATGTATATCTTAGTTATATTTATATTCGATTCCTTTGAATAGATCATTACAGCTAGAAGTATTCTAAGTTGCTGTACTTTATATTTGAACGCTAATCTAATTTACAGGAACTAATTCAAAGTGCACTAATTTAAAGGAATTTCAAGTGATTCAAGTAATAGAACAATAAATTAGATCAGTTTCACAGTTACACTTTAATAAAATCTGGTTACAATATCTTTTTTCATTAGTAACGTTTGCTTTAATAGATACACAGATGCCTATTGCAGAATATGTACGTTGCATTAATGAGTCATAAATATTTCACCGCCATTTAGATTTATAAGATGCGTTTCTCTGAAATGCATCCTGATAAATTTTAATCGGTTCTGTGTGAGGGTTATTACTGCAATTTCCCGTGGGGAAAAAAGGCCCCTGAGACGATACAGGGGAGTAAGTAAACAGGTTCTATGACTGTAAAAGAGGTATTTCGTGGTCCGAGTAGTCATAAATTCTGTGTTACTTTTCTGTATAAAAGACAACAAACGTTAACTTAACACAAACTCACTAATGAATTACCAGGCATGTTATACAAACCATACATGTATTATAAAGATTGTGCTTGCAACAAAAACAACACTGACTAGATTGATTGCAGGTCATATTTCCAAGATATGGCCATGTGGTTAGAGGTAGTTTCACAGATAAAAGCTGCTTTTTTTAACTTTTTTGTATTTACACATTTTAAAATGAGATATTTTATGTTTGTGCAATATTTTGTTGCCATATTTATAAATGTTGAACAATATTGAGAAACGTAGAGTAAAATTGAGTAAAATAAAAATGTTAATTGGGGCTATTCAAAATTTGACTTTGAATATTGAATTTGATAAATTTGAATTCAGAAATGCACTCTGCACGATCCATGATACGACAGGGAGCATATAAGAAGGTTAGGTCATACAAACATCCACACTGGCTTCCCATCTCTCTTTCTTAGAATGTTCGCTCCCCAGCCAGACTTAAAGAAAACAACTTGAGCTCTGCCAGCCCGCTCATAAGAAATGAGAGACACGCTATCCCTCATCACAGTGTGCAAATGACTGCTCAAGCAAAAAATACCCTCAGTGATGAGAGAATAGAATATCTTCCTTTTCATATTTTGCCACTGGGTGACGTCACTGCTAAAAAATGCCAAAATAAGCAAGCTTCTTTGGAGGTTGAAAGTAATACTGTATAGCATCCTGTTGTGATGGATGCTTTAGTGATGAAATGTCTCAGCTTTCACATGAGGATTCCCATATTGCTCCTCACTACTGGATAGTATTTCAGCTTCTCAAGAAGCCAGAAGAGCATCACTGAAACGTTGTTGACTTTTTTTTTCTTTTTGAATAAATCCAGAAGGAAGACACGACCCTTTCACATCTTAAGTACATTTCTTACCGTGCAAGAGATAAGTACACTTCGAATTTCTTGCACCTTTTCAAAAATTAAAATGTACATTCTGGTCAATTTAAGATCGTAAAAGATGAAAGTCTAACATTCTGCAGTTCAGTGAAATATCACCATCCAAATGTCTCTTTGAAACATCTGGATATTCAAAGTATGTGAAGTGAATTGGAATTCACCTGATGAGGGCTCAAATGAATAATCACATCTGAGCTTTATGTTTGTTTTGCATGCGCATGCACACAACTGTTACAAATATTGAGTGGCTCAGCGTGGAATGGGAGGAATATTATCGCAAGGTAAAATCTGGACTTTTCCATTTCACGAGGCAAAGCCGAGTGAACTGGAAAAGTCCAGATGTTACCGAGCGATAATATTCCTCCCATTTCACAATTTAAAGCCACTCTATATTTGTTTTATATAACTGACACATAGATCCTTGTCGTATGATATATTTGAACTTTTTTTTTCAATACAAAACTGGAGGAAAATGTATTTCTCTCTTCCAAACCACCTCTTCACGAAAATGTTTGAACCCAACACTGTAGGGCTGGCTCTTTGAAACAATACGCACTACGCGCAACGCTGAACGCGCTCACCAGCATGCATTTGCACACAAATACCGCGTCATGATCCTTACTGTTGAATAGTATTTCCCATTCCCCATGGGCGGATAGTACTTTTTGAGCTGCGGCGTGAATGGGAGCAATAAATAACGAATGTCACGTGATGTAAGTTCCACCAATCAAATGACTAGGATCTGCATGTCAGTTATATAATTACAAATATAACCTTGAGCAAGTCTCTGTAATTAAGTGAAGCCATGCTATGCACCTGCACCCAGGCATGTATTTATTGATTCTATATTATGAGCTGTTTAATTTAGAGCATATGATTATCACTGCTTTCCCTTGTGTCTGTTATGACAGAAGGCGGAAGTAGTGGATCAAACAGCTGGGAAAACAAAGGTGTTTTAGATGTGTCACAATTTATCACGTGCTCCCAATGTTTAGATAATCTAACATGGAAATCTTCAAGCCAGGGTTTATCGTTTGACAAATTATGTAATCTGTTCCCATGAAATTATTAGTTAATTATTATATTTTGGGTTTTTCTTAGTACATACATTATTCAAAAAACTGTTTGCAAAATATAACCATTAACTGAGTTGTATGTTTTTTGTTTGATATTTTGTATTCTTATTTTTTCATTACTTTTTAATTTTTATTGATATGTTGTTTAGCTAATTTTTATTGTTCAATGTATTTTTAATGTGTGTTTTTACAGAAAACAGCTAAATTTTCCATTTCATTTTTGAAAATGGATAAAGAATAAAGAATTGAATTGAATGGAATTATTTGGTGAATTAATGTGTTTTCTATCTGTGTCCAGATAGAGAAATACATGCTCCTAGATTAGGAATTAATTCAACAATGTAGTATTGTTTTCGTTGATCTAAATTTTCTGATGACAGATTGTTTCTGAGTTCCACGGCTGTGTGATGTTAATAGAGGCCCGTGTCACTATACATGCCATCATGTCTATGGGGAGTATGAAAACGCATCCTTCTTGAGAACCGTTTTGTGGCTAAGCCGTAAAGTATTGCCGAGTTCAAATGTAGACCCTTGCTCCGTATTTTACCCCCGGGCAAAGCATTATACTCTCCACCTGCCTCTGTCATGGTATATGAAAAATGATTGAAGCTGCTGCCAAAGCTAACGACAGCCTTTTGTATTCAATGGACTTATATTCCATCACGACGGCTATATACGGAAAACACTGACTTAATGAGCAGCAAGGCTTTGGCACTTGGCACATGCAGGATCTACCGAGTTCTTAAAGGTGCATGTTCACTGTACAAAATCTGATCTTTGCTTTGAAAACAATTAAAGCCTGATACTGCACATCACTACTTCACCCATGAAAACTAGAGAAAAAAAAACCTGGCAAATTTCATACCATTGGTTTGGTAAAGAAACCAAACCTTGTAGTTTTTATATATAATTACTATCAACCTTTAATTGACCTACATTTGTACCCTGCCCTATCATAAAATGCACTATGCACTACTGGGAAAGATTCCCATATCTGGCCATCACTTGACACCCTGTGTACAGATCGTATTAGACTGGTCTGAAAATTTCTAAGTGTTTTCTCAGTAAATACTTCAATATTTTCCCTGCTAAATTTGACTTTTTAGGACATATTATCACTTTCTGATGGCTGATAGGTCACTGAAGGGAAAAATTAGTGATGGCCAGATATGGGAATCTTTCCCGCTACTGTGTTGTTCAAATGCATTTCCAGTGTGTTTTTCTTGAATGCTAGGGTCCGGATTTAATAAGATTTATTTCCGATAATGAAAAACATGGAGGGATGTATCCCTGATCCCTCAGGCTTTGCCGGTTAATCATATTTAGTGAGCATTACTGACTGACTCCCTTAAGCTGAAATGAATCTGCACTCAAGTGAGTGGGTGTATGTTTACGTGTTATTTTGCCTTGGCGCCTCTATTGGGCAAAAATTCTTTCTTGTTTTTGCCTTTCTTTTATCAATTATGAAAGACAGTCCAATTGACTGAATTAGTAATTCAGATCTTGAATTTGATTCAGTTGGTGAGACTCTATCCCTTGATGAAATTTACATCTAAATCAAGCACATAGGCCTAACTCAGTTTAGAATTTTTTTTTACACAAGTAGCTTTATGGTAGTACAGGGATGATAAAAAAAACAGTTGATCAAAAAACCTGTTATCAGTTTCATTTTATTCCCATAATGTTTTCTTATATTAGCACTTCTTGTTGTAAATATAGCAAAGCTTTGTCGCTGAAGCAAAGAGTAATGCTAATATTTGAAGAGACAGTGTTTCTTTGCCACAGCCATGGGCGTCGCGAGGGGGGGGGGGCAAGGGGGGGCACTTGCCCCCCCCCTGGAAAAGCAAAAAAAAAAACAAAAAAAAAGGAAGAAAAAAAAGAAAAGAAAAAAGAAAGAAAAAGAGGCGCGAAGACAAAGTGGTGTAAATTTAATGAGTTGGGGGGGGGGGGGCAAAATGTCCCTGCCCCCCTCTAAAACTGCTAAATCGAAAATGTGTTGAGAAATACAAGCATTTTTTGGCAAAAAAAAATGTTGCCCCCCTCTAGAAAAATCCTGGCGACGCCCATGTCCACAGCAGATGTGAATTTTCAAGTAATAATTCATTAGTTCATAAAGAATATAACTTGGCTTCATCAATAGGTTTTGTGTCCCACCCAAGGCTCAGAATTTTGTTTAATACTCAAATACTTTTGAAAGGAAATGAGTCAAGCGGTCATGCACCTGCAGTAGGTCAGCTGAACTGTAGACCTTTGTGATTCACAAATTAGAAACATTGGAAATTGAACAAAACTAAACAGATAAAAGAGGTATGAATATAGTTTGATTTCACATACTTCTGAATTCCATATGAGGTACCCAAATACCAACTTATGTTTTAAGTAACTAGTAACAGATATTTTAAAACAGTACTAGTGAGACTTCTTTAATTAACATTATCATGATCATCTTACATTTATCTTCATTGTAACCTATGTATAGAACTTCCATTGTAGAGGGAACTATACATAGTATTTATCTTGCATGTAAACAAAATGGGCCCTAAAACAGAATTCCCTCGAAAATATCGTTATTTTGCACAACGTTCACTCCATCTCACATTCTTGTATTGATTTAAGTATGTTTATTTCGTGAGCATAAAAAGAACAGTGGCAATACATACCTAACTCCTCAAAGTACACCCATCAGACTGCATTGATCCAATGAGGCAAACGAAGCGGCAAAAAGCTGCAGCACTATGTGCGATGTGTAAGCTCAAGCACATGAACTTTATAAAACTGAAGCCGGGTTGTTTTTGCACGGGATCTCATCAGCTCACCAGTCCCCTACGTATTTCCTGAACCGGGTCCGTGACTCATCCGCTCTCCAAGACTTAAAATGTTCCCTTTCCAATTTGTCTAATAATTTGTGCCACGAGCGCGACTCGCCGTTGCTCGGGGTGTCAAAGTCGAAGGGGCCGCTCTCCGCGGCCAACGATGATTCAGACCCGCTACTACACGAGCACGGCCGGTGTAATGCGCTACGCCGGCTCCGGGTGTATGAACTCCGGGGGAGTAGAAAGAGGAAGGTGGAAATTATTCTGAAGCAATGCCTTGGGGTTATCAAGAAGGGAACACTGCTGATAATAATGATGGAGAAGGGTCTGGTGGGAATATAGAAGGTAAAGACCTTGTTGGCGACCGCAGCGAGCGATCGGCGTTTTTGATATCGGCGATTTGTGACTGATATGCTAGACTTGCGTCTGCAGTTGTGTAGATCGGTCGATGGTTTCTCTGTTAGTCATTAATTATTCACCTCGAATTGATGTGTAAGTGCAACTGCGGCAGTTCTTTGTCAGTGCTTCATTCATCCAGCAAAGAATACTATATACAGTCTTTCACGCTGTAAATCAATTTCCTCCTGCCCTATATTTTTTTCTCAATTTGGCTAAGCCTACTTTTAAAGCTGAGGCAGGGGTAGACCGCCTCGTTCACGAGTCTAAGTAAGGCAGGGCTTACAAAATGCCTCCCCAACCCCCCAAATATCACAAAATCATTTTTCGAGCAGTCTTCTGAATTTTACGAGATCCGTGCCTGACCAACTTTCATTCACTTGGCTACTTACTGCGCCACTTCTTTCAATGTCAAGGGAATTGTTATTAAATAATGAAAGGTTTGCGGAAACACCATGTGCGAATAATTTCTCAACTAAGAGAATGGTTCTGATAAGAACCAGAGGTATAAACTCGACGTTTGGAATTGTTATTGATAATGTTGATGCCAGGGATGAAGTGGTGATTTTGGCCTCGGTCAAATTCAGTATTTGAAAGTTCGAAGCCTACAGTAATCCCCGAACAAAGTTACATGTCCTTTTGCATGACGTCTACATAATTATGCAAGCCAAATTATGAAATACTGACGAACAAAATACAACTCTTAAGCTACTTTTTACATTAGTTACCTTGTGTCCACGTGCAGCAGACAGAAGTTAAATTTGGGCAGCCATTTTTCCCGCTTCACCAGTCACGACTGCTTACGTCATGGCTGTGAAAAAAACTGACCAATGGCGGCGCAAAGCTGGCTTAAAACGCCGGTCAGAAATGTCATGTGACCTGGGGTCAAATGTCGCTGGGGGAGGAGCGTTCAGTTTACATGAACGGAAATTATCCATTGAGAAAAACAATATTTGCGTTCTTCAATCCTCTCACAAAGTATTTTCCAAGTTTGCCCGTTTGTCTCAAAATAACTAAGTAAATAAGGACAGGGAACAGTGAACACGACCACACTTGACACAAGAACTTGTAATTATTTTGGATATGTCTCTTTTTATTCAGGATTATGCAACACTATCACAGGTGGGCTAAGGAGATTACAGAAATGGATTTCAACTTTTTTTTAAAGAGCTGAGCAAGTACTGATATGTTAAATACAAAAAAATGCCTAACGTGATAAATTAAATACAATTGAAAATCAAATTTTGACCTTTGATTGTAACCCACTCCCAACAACCCATTCCCAACAAAAAAACAATACTTTAATAGGATGGGATTGACCTATTTTGTGTAGTAACTTGCAGAAATATTAAAATAATTCAGTACATTGTAGAACTTAGAAGAGAAACAATAAACAGTTGTACTTGCCTCTAAAGTGTGCACCTAAATGAGTTGAGCAACACCCCAAGTGGAGTACATGCACAATTAAATAAGGAGAACCTGTAGTGATTTATATACCATCAAATGCACGAAAACAAAATCCCAGATCTTGTCACAAAATTAATATAGTTATTTTGCCGACAATATTCATCATATCCCTACCAATGCACCATCTGTTGTATACATCCATTCCAACTCCAGTATATATATATCTTATTTACATTTCAGTAAGACATGCGAGCCACCATGTTTTAAATGAATCTCCTGCGGCAAATATTACAATGCTTTACAATACTATCACCATCACAACTTCAAGTAACTTTTTTTCTTTTATAATCAAGGGGGGGGGGGGGGGGGTGGTTTAATTTCAAAAATAAAATGAAGGAAAAAAACCCGAAACCTACGTGACTCTTATGAAACATTCTGGACATACATTTATATACAAAATCATTTTTTCACATTACGAATTAACTCCCTAAAACCACTTTTTAACTTCCAACGATTTGGGATAAAACAAACAAATTTGGAAAGGCAAACGGTGGCTTTTTTATCTCGATTAAGCGTAGTATGAGTAAATGTGATCAAAACTAAATCTGGCTATTTACAGTGCGCTGATGTTAATTATTTTATACACGTGCATAACGTCCCATGCATCTTATGAAGCGAGTAGTGAGGAATCATTTTACTTGACAGTCATATCCGAGATATATTTGGATTTTCAATGACCACGCGGACATTACAGCATTGATGCTAGAAAGATAATGAACTTGCATTTAGTATTTCCAAATTACAGAACACAGTCTCGACAACTCTTTGGTTTAACTTGCTGTCGAGCCAAATTTCCAAGGGTAGGCACATCAAAGCGAAATTCAAACTGTCATGCAGTGTCTATTCTACAAAAGCAAAAACACGCTCCAAGAAAATTGCTTCTGGTTATTCAGTTAAAAAAGAAAGAAAAAGGAAACAGTCCTACAAAACAATTTACTGCTCGAAACACTGAAATCCAAACACATTGTCTGTTCTTTCTTGCAATTTTTTATTTACTGGCTTATTTCTACAATAGATGCGCCATTTTCTGGGGTCCAGTTGACATGGTCGGCCTTTTCGCCCTTCTCCTGCTTCTCCCACATCTGGAAGAAGAGGCGCTCCAGGCTCAGGGTGTAGGTCTTGACGTTGAACAGCGGGCTCTCGGTGCGGCCTTTCCATACTTTGAACTTCATCGTGTTTCGGCTGCAGAACGAGAGATACAAAAATAGTGGTCGCATTAAAATCTGGATTTTGTAACATTGAGCCATTTGTCTGACACAGGCTTAAGAATACAACTGGAACATCCCCCAATTTGCTCCATGGTCTCCGATTGTAACCGTATTCACTCGCTAGTGGTCTTCTTGGTTCATTAATAGCCAACCCATTCAACTGATCAGAGAGTTCCCATCCATTTTTTTTCTCTCAATTTGACAGCTCTGGAGTGTTTCTGTAAAGGCCCAGTGGTCATTGAACCCTTCAAAACTATACCCAATCAATGCATACAGCACCCCACTCGTCACTTTGTTGACATGTGACTGCGAGTTAAATGGGAGCTTCCTGTGAAATTGTATAACTGTTTTCCGGTTTGAACAATTTGGATAGCCAGATTTTGAAATCTCACATTTCTCCCTTAAACAATAAAAAAGGGGCACAGTATTCAGTGAAGCTTCTTTTTGTACTGATGACAGACTGTTTTAAACTAAAGTTGTCTTGTTGTGGTTGAAATTAATATTATCTTTAAAGTCAATTGAATTGCTATTTTGCCTGAAATGAAAAGCAGGTGGAATCGAAGAGACTCAAAAAGGTATAGAAAGCGTTATCCGAAAACAGATGAAATGTTTGCCTATAATGATTAGGCTGCACCCAAAAACTTGGCTGAAGTTGATATATTAACAGACATATCTTTGAGAAGTGGATTCAGCCTCTGCAATAGATGCATGTGCAATTGCTAGCCGTAACCAAGTAATTCTGACGCAGCCCTTCATTGTTTCCTAATTGTGCCTTAGTTACTTTTAGGACCCCCTTGCCGTTACTAATTTTACGGAAGTCAACCGTTGATTATGCGTCAGTTGTCAACCAAATTCGCTTCGCTTACACATGAAGGGGTCCTAAAAGTAACCAATGCCCTTAAATGTCTCTTAATTTGTGGCAGATTTCAATACTTACAAATCTGGGTCTGTCCCAAGCCTGCTGGCAATGTTCTCGTACTCTTGTCTGGAGGATGCGACCAGCTCAGGGCATCCCAGGCAGTGGAGTTGGGAGGCTGCAACGCGAGATGCTAGGGTTTCACCTGGGAGGAAACAGAGTGATGGGTCTGAGGTCAATGGTGAAGAAGTGAATGATAATTTCGAACAAAGTAGAAAAATCAGTCATAATCAAACTCAAGGACAATTGACCGTCTTCGGGAAACGTATTTTAATATTCATGCCACAAACAAAATAAAGAAAAAACTTGGAGAGGACCACATGTTATAAGACCATTGAGAGCGCAGAGTGTACTAAGTACTTTCCCTACAAAGGCAGCAGATTCTGAAATAGTCAGCAGGGAAAATATCCATTTAATGAGGTATTTAGAAGAGCATGGGCATACCAATTTAAAAAACAAGAAGTGTAGACTCACCAGGTAGGGTCACCATCGGGGTGCCAGCCCACAGCACATCCATGCCCGTGGTGTGGCCGTTGCACAGCGGCGTGTCCAGACACACGTCGGCAATCTGGCCGCGCCGGACGTGTTCCTCCTTGGAGGCGACGGGGGAGAAGATAAGGCGACCGGCCGGCATGCCTAGACGGGTGGCCGAGGCGGTCAGGTGGGGCTCGCCGGTGGCTGGGAAGCGCAGGAGCCAGAGGATGCTGTTGGGAACTTTCTTGATGATCTGCAAGGCAGATAGAGAAACATCTTTATATTTCTTGATGAATCCAAATAACCGCACAGTACTTGGGCAGTTTGGTGGGTGTACAGGGAGTACCAGGCAGGGCAGTTTCAGGTGGTACAGGGACTAATAACTCAACTTTTGTCTATTTACCAAAAAGAGTTCAATTGGATGGCTAATCGGTTGAGGTAAAACCAGTGGTTTCTACTGTATAATGGTTACATTTGGTTGAGATACGGAAAAGTGGTTTAAAGCCAAAAATGGGCAGTTTGGGCACTAAGGATGTACGGCATTAATAGCAACAGAACAAGGATTTGCTTTACATACCGTGGTTCATAACTGGATACTTACTAACTTTCAGAACATCTTTAGAATCCAAGACCACACTTCTAAAAGCACATTATTTCTGTGATTTCCAAATTATAACAAGTCTCAATAACAGAAAGTGTACTCACCGAGACCCACATCTGCAACGTGGCAGGGTCTATCTTGTACAGCTGGTTAAAGTTGCAGTAGACGATGGCATCGTCCGGAATGCTGTACATGGAGCGAGTGGTAATGATGGGAGTTGTTGGCACTTCCTCTCCAGTTGCTGCCTTGGGTTGCACCTTTAAAAAAGAAGAAGAAACTTTAACAGGATATCTCACAATTCAATGCATTTACAAGTCAAGTCGCAAGTAACACATGATGAACAATAACAAAGGAATGCTCTTGTCGCAGCTCATTTGAATAGCTTGTGAGTTGACTCACGACAGGATGACTTATGATCGACTTGTGATTGACTTGTGATGACTTGTGATGACTTGTGATGACTTGTGATGACTTGTGATTGACTTGTGATGACTTGTGATGACTTGTGATTGACTTGTGATGACTTGTGATTGACTTGTTGTAATTGACTTGTGGTTGACTTGTGATTGACTTGTGATGACTTGTGAGTGACTTGTGATTGACCTGTGATTGACTTGTGATGACTTGTGATTGACTTGTGATGACCTGTGATTGACCTGTGATTGACCTGTGATGTGATTGACCTCATTACCTGGTTGACGGCCAGTCCATGGGTGATGTTCATTCCGTTGATGGAGGCCTGGGCGTGTCCCTGAATCACCATGGTGTTCAGCGCCTGCGAGATGGAGTTATCCATAACGGCAAACTGGAGCGGGTTAGCGGAGTGAGCTAGCTTGTCGCCGTTTCCATTTTCAGTCTAAATGGGTGAAACAATATCACATTTAGGTACAGTTTGAAAGTTTTGCTGGATACAAGATGGAGATTTTTAAGTGATAAATGAATCTCTTCTGTCAAGAAAAGTTGGTTTTCAAAGAACCAGTGATAACAATGTGTTGACATGCCAATTCTTTCCACAAAGAATGCAGTGAAGGATTCAAAAGTTGATCAGTGAGGATTCCGGCTTTACTCGGAGGGCGCATTAGATGATAGTACAGGACACTCTTTTTCCTACCATGGGGTTACTTTTATCTTTCAACTTCTTGTCAGTTTCAGCTGCGTTTCAGGCGAATGGATATGAAGTGTTAAGTAACTGTGTCGCACAGAGAGTCACTGCACACAAAAACAGCACTGTGGAGAGCAGTTAAGAGTGACCCTATCTGCCTGCTTGCCCCGAGCTTGACCACACAAAAAGAACTGCGCGAGGATTTGAAGTGTTATCCATACCCTATAGAAAATTTGCCTGAGAGCAATTTGAAGTGTGGGTGCTAACTCAAAGGAAAAAAGGGGTCTTGTAAATCTTCAAGGGTTGCAGAAGACTAGGGGGTTAATATGGCAGCTATAGAATGAGCAAAGGGCGTTTTCATTATGGCAAATATTCAACAGCCTTAAGAGTTTCTGGTAGAGCAAAGGTCAAAACAACTGAATCATGAATGAGAAATGACAGCAAAATAACGTGTATGAAATCCCTTAATATGAAATTAATAAAAAATATCCAAGCTCCTTGCCTTTTTGGATGAAGCAGTCCCATTAGCGGCAGTGGTGGTTGGCTGCTTGGCGGGCACCACAGAGTTGACTTTCTCCATGAAACCCTTGACGTCTGTCGTGTTGATGATGCCCACGTTGTCTCGCTTGAGGCCGTCCTTGGACTCGACGATGATCTTGTCCAGGAGGTGGGGGAACATGTTCCAGTGGTCGCCGATGAAGAAGGTGTGGGGCATGTAGCCCAGCTTCTCAGAGTAGTGCTGGCCCAGGTCCATCGGGGAGGTCACCATGTCGGTGATCAGGTAGTCCATGAAGGATGCACCGCTGGTGCCTGGGTAGCCAAGCCACATGGCCTGTCAAGGAGAAAAAAAAGTCACTTCAAGTGAATTTACTTTGTTAAGCTCAAAAAGATGACCTTAGACCATCTGCCAGAAATCATTAGACTGCTGCAAGGACCTTTTGGCACTGAACCGACAAATTATAATTTGGACATCAGCAAGTGCCTACCTGGATCGGTGCAGGTCTCAGGGCAAACAGTTCATTTCGGGCACCCTTGGTGTAGCCGTTCATGTTGACCAGGATGTGAATGCCGTCTGCGTTGATGCGGTCCGCAGCCTTGCCATTGCATGCAATCTGCAAGACAAATAAATGGAAGTAAAAACAATTTAAAAGAAAGTTAATTGAAGACATATGGCTCTACTAATTTGACCAATTTGCAGAAACACTCCATTTGTATATTCCAATTTAATTAGGATTTTTCACACACTCTATGGACTTTAGAGTTCCTCCAAGTTGTCAGACTGATTCGGTGATAGATGAGTCTGCCTTATCGGTGATTTTAGATTTAACATTGGGTTTTGCCCAACGTATTTTTCTCTTTCTATAAACACTGTATACTCAGTGTTGTCACGAGTGATTGTGGGAAAAATTCACAAACGACGCGAACCCACAAACTCCTGCTTACTAGTGCGTAAGTCTTACCACTTGACCGCCGAGCCTGCCGGGGTTGGCTGGCTGGTTCGAATCTAATACAGCAGTGGGTTACTGCAACTTAACTATTTATAAGATCGGTTATCAACAGACAAAAAACTTGCAGCATTTTGCTAAACAGTTAATGATTTCAACCCACCTGGGACAGGTCCACAAATGTTCCAGCCTCCTTGTAGACTTTGGCTCGGAAGTTGGTGCCATCATCGGCACTCAGAGCATAGCAGAACACCTGTGCAATACAAAGCCAATACGGAAAAAGATTTTACTTTTTTTGTAATTTAATTGATCGATTCCACAGAACTTCTGCTCTCTGAAGCTAAAGGGGTACTAAGCACCATGTGAAATTATTCCGTCTGGCTTGCTGTCATTTCGAAGAAATCAAGAAATGCAGGCGATTTCCAACGCTCTGTCGATTGACTGATTTTTTTTGGGAACGAGTTCTATTGACAAAATTGTGTTTCGTGATCAAAAGATTGTGCATGCTTTTTCACAGTTTTCTTGAAAAGTGTAATATCCACGGAGCTGAAAATTCAACAGGTTACGTTTTTGAACATTCTTGTTTGGATTTTGAGTGGTGCTATTATCTGAAACGATTCAAAAGCAAAATGAAACGCAACTGATCCTATATGCCTTTACAACAAATACAGACACCTCATGTTTGACAATTGTTGTCATTCGTTTGATGATTGGTTCAAGAATGAGGAACCAAGATAAGAAAAGTGAAGTCACCCACCTCAACCTTGTCGCTGTGCTTGCCGGGGACGCTCTGCATGAGGTGAGATGTCGGGTGGTTGCCAAAGTCGGAGCTTACATAGCCAACTCTCAGCTTGCCGTTGGGAGACAGCTCCTTGGGGTACTGGTACGTGCCCTTGTGCAGCACGTTGATCTGAGAAAAAAAATATTCAAACAAAACAAACTGTATTAAAACTTGCCCGATACACCGTTAAACCACACTGAGTAAGCTGTTTATGCTGAAAAAAATGAAACTACAAAACAAACTTCAAAGTGGAGTAGACATGGTTTCAGCCAAAAAATATTTGCCAAAAAAAAAAAAAAAAATTTACAACCCGTTTCATAAATATCAGGCACAAAACAATGGATTAAGTGACAAGTTGTCCGAGACAGTCCATAAAGACTTTCTACACAGCATCCATCCATCTGCACAGAATATCTGCCCCCTAAGATGGCTGCTAAGGTTTATTAAGAGGAATACCATCGCACACTCACCTTCTCCAGACAGAGGTTCCCGTGTCGACTGGCGATGCCCTTGCGGAATTCCGGAGACAGCGGATACAGCATGCTGTGATGCGGGTGGACAGACGGTAGTCGATTCTTGTCCAGCTGGTCGGCGACGATGGTCACCAGTTGCTTCATGCGCTGCTCATAGTCCGACCAATCGCACACAATCTTGTGGGAGCAAGACAGAACATGGCTGTATTTACTATCAACTGAGGGGGGGGGGGGGATGGGAATTTGCGAAGCACAACAAATATTTGCTTAGCGAAAATAGCAGGCTATTTCTTGTAAATAGCTTTAGAATTGGCAAGGCAACTGAAAATATCAGTCCAGTAATAGTAACAATTTTTATTTGAAAGGACAGGATGTCAAATGCAATTCACATGAAATATTCTATAGTTTGTGAAAACAATCTGGGAAAAAAACAATCTAGGACAAGTCCTGTCACGTTGAGCAGACATTGAGTTTTCTTGTGCCATGAGAGTGCGTTTACCTGTAGGCAGTGGGCTAGGTTGCAGTAGGCATCGGGAAAGTCTGGTTTCAACTTCAGTGCCGTTCTGTATGATGCAATAGCCTCAGGAATGGAGCCAGAATCCTGATAAGAAAAAAATATACAATCAAACACATTAGATCTACTTCAAATAAAATACAACCCCATTAAAGCCCACAAGATTTTCTCTTCTCACCCTGCTTAACTAACAGGTTCCAAAATCAGCAAAGTGTAGTCTACTGAACCCAACAACATATTTCCACGGCCAGAATAATAGGTCTTGGTCACGAAGGGATCAACACGGCCAAATAGAAATAGCCTACTGTTGCATTAGGTTCTACTTAAGCACAGGGAGAAATAAGGTTTACCAACTGATCCAATCTAAAGTTCATGGCTTCTTCACATTTCCAATATAAAAGGCAAAGTATTCTACAATTCGCTGGACATGTGTAGCTGAAGATGTAAGTGGCTAAGTGAATTCTGCTAACACTGAAGACGGAGGATCCGAACTCACCTTGTGAATGGAAGCCAGGTTGCTGTGCGCATCGGCAAAGGCTGGGTTGATCTGGATGGCCCTGGTGTAGCACTGCAATGCTCCCTGGATATCCTGCATCTCCTTCAGTGTGTTGCCCATGTTGGAGTAGGCGTCGGCAAAGGTTGGTGCAATTCTGCGCATCAAAAATATGGAACATTATCAATCAATCTTCTCAATCCTCCTATTATACTCTATATGGTTTCTTGTAAAAGGGGAGACTTTGAATTATCAGGTGGTAATTTAAGGTTTATCATAAGATTTTACAAGTTTTTTATTGGGTTTTACAGGGTACCTCAGGGTTCGACCCTGGGTTTACCTCTTGATTAACTGGATTTAAATTAGGTACCTAACGAAACTTTTGTAAATGTGAAATTAACTCCTGTGCTGAGTGAAATGATCAACCGTAAACATGAGAAGCGTGGTTCTTGGAAGGCAGTTTTTTGAAGAATCTGCAATAGATACCTCTATTGTCCTTAAGGATTCGAGTCTGTTGAATTAAGGCATTCTTATGATGAGAGTCGGAGCACACTGACTGCAAAATCCAGATATCTCGTTTCTTCTCCAAGGCACTCTTCTAGCTTTTAAAGATGTAACTTCACATTGGGCATCTGCACATTTTTTTCAAGGCTTGTTTTAAATAATTGAAGAATGTATTTTACCTAATGGCCTCTTTGTAGTGCACCAGAGCCTCCTGAAGCTTGCCCTGCTGCTGCAAGACGCTGGCCAGGTTGGAATGGGCGGCGGCAAACTCCGGGTACACCTCCAACGCCTTGCAGTACAGCTTGATGGACTCCTCGGTCAGGGCCTGCTCCCGCTTGATGTTGGCCAGGTTGTTGAGGGAGTCGGCGTGGGTCGGGCAGAGCTGCAGCGCCGTGTTGTAGCACTCCTCGGCCTCCGAGACTTTGCTTTGCTCCTTGAGGGCGTTGGCCAGGTTGCAGTAGGCATCGGGGAAGTGGGGCTGGAGCTCGATGGCCCGCCGGTAGGTGTCGATGGCAAGATCTATCAATCTGCGGGTAGGAATCGATAAACAAGTTCACAATCGCACCACAGGAATCTTGCAGACACTCAAGTACGATGCTTTCTGCGTAAAAGAAATTTGTCAACATTCCTTCCTTTGATCCATCCCACTCTTCAAAACAACAATAACAATTTTTTTTTTTTTTTTAACTCAGCAAATCTCGGAGCTCACCCCTGCTCATAGTAGACACAGGCAAGGTTTCCGTGAACCACAGCATGGTTTGGACTTAACTGCAGCGCTCGTAGATATGCACCAACAGCTCTGGAAAAAGGGGAATGTGTAGACATCCATGGTTAAATTTATACAAAAATTGTTAATTATGGTAAAACTGGATAATATGCAAAAAAAAAATATATATGCATTTATGTATTATATAATTCTCTATGAACTGTCTCTTTTCTTGTTTAAATTTGAAGACAAATTGCAAGCCATCCTTTCACCAGTGCAAAGCGTTTCGGTTATTTGTTTTATCTATTTCAAACTTTACCTGTCAAAGATGCGAGCTTCTTTGAGGACATTCCCAAGATTGATGTATGCATCAAGGAAGTTAGGATCTAGTGTCACAGCCTATGGAGAAATTTCAGAGAATATTTAATAGACTAATAGTGTAAGGATATTTCAGATATTTTGTAAAATGTTCACGTTTTCAACATTTGGAATATTCTCTTTGTAATTTGATTGCTCATTCTTTTGAAAATTGAGCAGAAAGAAGTGGTAACGATTTCGGTGTCTAAAAAAGGAGAAAAATGTTCTTGCCTTCTCAAAATGATGTATTGCCAGCCATATCTCTCCTTGAGCATTGAATACACAGCCAAGGTTGCTCCAGGCCACGGCAAAGTTGGGCTGTGTCTCTATAGCCTTCAGATAGCAAGCCTGTTGATGGAGGCCGGCCAAGCCAAGTTGGTGGGAGGGGTAAGGGATGGTGGAAGGATGGTAGGGGGAGGTGATGACGTGGAACAATGTCCGCAATGAAGGCGGCAAAAAGGTAGAGATGTAAAAGAGAAAAAATGGGGAAGGGAGGGGAACAGAAAAGCATCAATTAGTATCTAGCATGACGGCAGACGGCTTATCAGCAAACTAAGAGAATAACTGCGTTTACACAATATTGAGAGGAAAACAGGCTGGCATTTTGAAAATCAATGATTGATTTGATTAGTACAACCAAAAACAAAAGGTGGTATTGACTGTTTTTAAGCCTGTTTTCCGTCTTTCAATTGTGTAAAAGACAAGAGCAGTGATTCGCCTTAAGAACTGTGAAGCTTGCCCAGCACTTACAGGCCCATGGTCTGTGTGGCTGCGCTGCGCTCGCTGCACCTCTATCCTCATGACTTCCAACAGATTGGGCAACGACCGTTTACCCTTTTCACAAATGGGTACATTACTATAAAAAAAAATAACGTGCTATCTTCCTGAAAGTAACTTGTACACAATTTAGAATGTGGTCAATCAGTTTTGAGTACAGTTGCTAAGAGTCGTTGCACAACACTGAATGAAGCAAATGAGTTTAGAGGAATGTTGCGCGCTGCTGCTGCTGCTGCATGCGCATTGCCCAGCCCCGCTATCACTGATGCATCTTTGACTCAAATCATGAACTCTAAATTCTCTGTGGCTCTCAAGTTTCTTAAGATCATTGAAAAATTCACAAGCAAATTTCCATTAACAAATTCTCAGGTCATTTACCACAAATATTATGATATGACTTAAAAGAGTACACAGAAGTAATGGAGCCCTTGTTCCGAAATCAAAGATACACCAGTGGCTGCAAACCTACGCTGCTAGCTGTGTGTGAAACACGTATCCATTCAGGAATAAGACAATGGGGCAAAAGAAAATGGTTTGCCGCTAAGTTTCAAATCAAACTGGCCTTTTGGTCGAGTATGGTCATTAGTATTAACAAAACAATTAACGAGGTAATGACGTATTAGTTCCGTAATGCTGCATGGTTGCAGTGTAAACCTGTTCCTGAAAATGATATGTATCGTCACACACTTCGCACGCTGCTGGCAGGCTGGCTGCTGCGACGCTGTTGCTGCTGCTGCTGCTGCGGCTGATTGCTGAACACATGCACAGCAAGCTTTAATAACTACAGTACATAGTCAGCTATCCTCTTAGTTTACTACAGTTCAATGTATGGCATGAATATCAGTATAAAAAAAATATTATCTTTGGTAACATCTCTGGAGTTCTTTGTCTTCATTTTCTGTTTTCTCTTTTTTTTTTATGAACAAAGCCTTCTCTCATTCAAGTAATTTTTCTTTTTTATAATCAAAAATGTTTTAAATCAAGTTTGTTTTAAAGTTATGTGTTCTTCAAACTTATATTTTTCAACTTCTTCAAACTTATTTTTTTTCAACACAATTTTTGTATCACTTTTTTTCCTCAGATTTTTTTTTATGATTTTTTTTTTTTCATCTTCTTCAAAACTTATATATTTCAACACAAATTTTGTTTCATTTTTTTTTCTCAGGGTTTTTTTTGCACTTTTTTTTTTTTTTTTTTTCGGGCAAAAATGTGTCACTTCACTGAAGGAAGTGATGGCTTGTTCGGCTTTTGCTGCTGCAATCAGTTTCTTTTCACTGATACAAACCAAGGGCGAACATGGGTATTTACTCTCGGCGGCGTCGTAGCGGGCAAAGTGCCAAGGACAGTAATATACAAGGAGTGTCCTCAAGATCAAACCCACCCACGGGGTGCTCAGCAGGGTCTCGACTCCGTCTGCAGATTAAAACTGATGGTTGCGACAATGAAGCATCAACGGGAAAAGGCCTTTATAAAAATGCATCAAGCACAAGAAAGATTGAAAAACAAAAGAAGAGCTCATTAGTGGTAACTGTGGTGGGAAAAATTGTATTACTTCCTGCAAAAGAGAAATTTATGTTCTTCAATATACAGCATCCCCGTTCCCAAACATGTCAATGTTCACTGATGATAAACCGCGCGTACTTCAGGTTTTAGGTTTTTTGGTTTGCAAGGTTTGTTGTTCAGCCTCGCGGGTCGGGACGCAAGCGACAGTGGTGGTACTCAAACCCATGTTAACAACAGACAGATTTTCAGTAAATATAGGATCTTAAAAAATATAAAAAGAAAACGAAAATTGGCAAAACTGCGAGTGTCCACACGTGACTTTCTCAGCAGGAATGAACCTGATAATGACACAGGCAATATGACTTTGCTAACTTGTTTTAAGTTTTTGGTAAACACTTAGGAATTCAATCATCCTACTGTTGCCGCATGGCCGTGAGTAGCACCAGTTTTGCGCGTGCAGGGGCAGCCGCATGCAAAGCGCCACACCAACGTTTCCCACCTGTCTCACTGTACGTTGAGCACGGATTGGTTTAATTTCCCTATAAAACTTTTCCCCTTTTCATAACACGCATTTTAAGAACGCGTTTAACTCTTTCAGTTCTGAATTTGGTGAGGAACAGTTGGTGTGGCTCCTTTAATTATTGCAGGTATCTTGAATTCAGCCTGTCGAACCTGCAAACAACTCTGGAATGAAAGGGGGAAAAAAAGCTGGCTTTATTGGAACGCGCCGCAGGCCAAGGTTCATTTCAAGCATGTGCTTACTTAAAACAGCTTTTGACATCACAAATGTGACAAACATTCTTCACAGTAATTTAGAAACTTCCTTTGGAAAAATTTTATAAAAATCTGCAAAATTTCTTTTGCTGAAGGTTTGGGAAAAATACCTCAAAAAATTGTCGACGCCGTTTTAGAGAGCACAATGATGTTTTGAAATTTCCCTTAGCAGTGCCCATTTTTTTATCAGGTGATGCTCCCTTCGCAATGGTACACATTGTGAATCTTGCTGATCTCTTGAAGTTAGCAGTGGCTTTGTGTACCATTGCGTGGGACTGGGAGTGCAGTACAGCGACTGGCACACTCCGAATCGCCTTGCATTCCAAGCACAGGGAACAGCTTGTATTCATGTCCGTTTGCGCACATGAATACAATTTGTCCCCGCGCTCATCCGTTTCCAACGAGCAATACTAGTGCTTTGGAAACAGAAGGTAGACAACGCTAGCGTCTGCTGCAGCACGGCGGCAGCTAGCATCTGCTGACAGGGCACTCAAAGCAACGCTTGCTTGGTTTTGGCACAAAAAATCGCAAAATACGCACTGCGACGTTGCTCGAAGCATGAACCACAAAACTTGCAATTCGAGCAGACATTATTGCCTGTGGAAGTGAAAAGCCGGAAACGTTTTACTGAAATAGTAACTCATTGAATGGGATAACATAACCCCATAAGAAAACCTTGCAGAACATAAACACACACTAGACACACAGCGAGTATAACTACACTATAATTGCTAAACGAGTTTTGCTAACGAAGCAAGGGAAAGTTGCACACAAAACCATAACAATGTAACAGACCGAACGTACTGAACAGTCGACAAGGAACACTACCATAAATCTAAACTTGCCTTACTACTGGCATTTTTTTTCTATCTAAAAGGTCCAGAGATTCTGATTTTTCAAATTTCTCTGAATAGAAACAAACAACACATCTCACTAGCCTACAGTGACTAGTTTTGTGCATGCCAACATTTTTTTTTCTAAATTACTTAGTCATGCATAGAAGCTGCACCATATACAAGATTATAAAACAACCTAAGCACCAACATTTAAGGACTTCCTAACAAAAAACAACTTACAATATTCCAAGGATGATTTGAAAAGATGTATTGTATAAACTAGGAATAATAATAAGTTCACGTCTCCAAAATAATAATAATAATGATATGATTTTTGCTCAGACTGTATTAATTGGAATATTATTGTAAATGTAGTGTTCATAATTTATTACCACGACTGGATCACTGTCTTTTTGCAAACTAAACACTAAAACTAAAACACAGAAAAGACCATCACAACTTACGGAAGTTTACGGTAAGATAGTACTAAAGGACCCTACTCACATGTAACAGACAAAAACACAACAGAACACAAACTTAAAAAAAAAAAAAAAATTAAAGAAAAGAAAAAAATTTGGTTCTGCAGAAGTTTCCTTATGGAGTCATTCACTACCTTCATGGTTCGTGAATTTCACTCGGATAAATCCCCACTGGCAAGGCAGCCCTTGTTTTACCTTGGCTTCATCTAGGCGATGCAGAGCCTTTAAAAGGTTGCCCAGGTCACTCCGAACACAGTAGAGGTCCTGAAAGGGGATAGAAAAACAGAAAATCTGTTCACAATTCTCGCTATTTGTGCGTGGATAAATTTCTCGTTTTGTGGGGGAATACCATTGGACTCTACGATGGCCCTGGATATAATGTCATATGAGTAATTGATTGATACTGAGTTTTAGAAGAAGTGAAGTTATCGCTTTAAAAGTTACACAGTTGTCATTAATTTATCTCTAACATGTAAGAACATTTTTTCCAATCTTTCAAAACTATCAACTCACTCACTTTCGGCATTACAAAGATCCGAACATGAATTTGCTCTTTTCACGCTCCGCCATTGGGCACGCAGAGCCTCGATCTGGCAACTTTACACAATAAAAATAGCCGGTTCAGTGATCTGAACCCCGACACGGGAATCACTGAACCGGCTATAGTCATTGTGTAAAGTTGCCAGATCGAAGCTGTGCATGCCCATGGCGGAAGTGTGAAAAGAGCAAATCAAGGCCAAAGTAGCCGACTTGAACAAGGACACTGTAATTCCTTCTCGGATTAGACATTTATCACAATATTTTCCCACATAATTTTAGTCAAGACACTGGGATCGGGTGAAGTAGGTAAACATCTGTACCAGAACCCCTCCTAAGGCCGTCGGCTTGGAATTTATTGTCAAACTTACAGGGTTGTACTGTAACGCCTGTATGTATGCCGTCACAGCCCCTTCCATGTCTCCGGCCGCCACCAGCGCTGCTGCCAGGTTGATGTAGCCGTCGATGAAGTCCGGTTTTAGCCTGACGGCGTGCCGGTAGTTCTCCAGTGCCTCGGGGAGCTGGCCCCGCTCCTTGAACACGTTGCCCAGGTTGGAGTAAGCCTCGGCTAACATTGGGTTCTGCTTGATGGCTAGTGTACTGAAGTGCGCCGACCTGTAAGTGGTGGGTTAACAAAAAAATAGAACCACTTTGATTACAGCACACCAGTCAGCAATGCCGCGGAAAGAATGTTGCAACTTGACGCCACTTTTTGCTTCATATATAATCTCAATGAAGGTCAGTCATTGCAAAAATGATGATAAGACATGAATCTGGGATTGAGAACATTTCCAATTTTGTTAGGAAATACTTGGAAAAATTTTCTTGACTCTCCATAGACTTTGTACACATCCGCTGAAGTGGTGTCAGGTTGCAACATTTTTTTCCAATGCCACAGTTACAATAAACTGGTGAGTACACCGATATCACATTTTTTTCAGGAATAGCTATAGTGTCCCACTACTCATATCCTTGACCACTCATTGAAGGTCAGTCATTGCAAAAATGATGATAAGACATGAATCTGGGATTGAGAACATTTCCAATTTTGTTAGGAAATACTTCATTTCTTGACTCTCCATAGACTTTGTACACATCCACTGAAGTGGCGTCAGGTTGCAACATTTTTTCCAATGCTGCAGTTACAATAAACTGGTGAGTACACTGATATCACATTTTTTTCAGGAATAGCTATAATGTCCCACTACTCATATCCTTGACCACTTTGCGACTTTCTATCAAACTTTGCCGTGTCTAATAATCTGACAGAATCAAATAGCTGGACAGGAATGCTGTCGAAAACAACCAATTTCGCAGCTCAGACAAGACTCTTTTGGAAACTGTGAAGAATCAGCAAAACTGCTTAAAACTAACTTGTTTGATTTTGTTGAAGTAAGCAGGATTAGGGTGACGTGTACACCAATCTCATTTGAATATTTGCCAGATACCCTTCCAAAATCAACAGAATCCGACCAACTTTGACGTGTGATGCCTGTTATAACCCTAACCCTGCCAGAGGCAACACAGTGCATCAGGTGGAAAAGTCTGTTGCACTTTGATGCATTCAGCTACCAACACCAGTGCATGAATAGCCACTTCTGAGATAACGAGAGCTAGTCCCATTGAACAATGCCACAGTTGAATCCTGCTGCATTCGGGGACCACAGACTCTGGGGCAGTTTGGCCTTGAGATTTTTGGCCTGATGGATCTTGCTGCACTAGGCAGACTTGTCACTTAGACAAATGTTGCATGTTGCTGCGTTTGGAACGGTTTCTAGCCAAAATACCCTGGAAGGTTAGGGATAAAGACTCCGAGATCTAAAACAAAACGTTTCTTTTTTTGTTCACTTCTCGTGTCTAATTCAAACAGACAATACACGCAGCATAGGTTAGGCTGAAAGAAGACTCACCTATCAAGTTTCCGACATTGAAAGTGTATTGAGCTTAGCAACAGTAGCACCCCAGTGTTGTCTGGCTCCTGCGCCCATAGCTGCATGCAATGTCTCTCTGCGTTGTCATAATCACCAGCTTGGTACTCACGGTGTGCTAATTCAGCAAGACCTGCCAAGAAAAATAAGTCAACACTTAGGCCTTATTATGATCGTAACTTTCATCCAGTTCTTTTCAAAAAATCTGCCAAGTAAAAAACATCAAGTTGGCAAAATGCGTTATGACATAGGACCTGTAGGTACCTAACATTATTAACCCTAACCGCCCTGAATCCTCCAAAATCCTTTTTGCAAATTGGAGGAATTTGCAGGATTGAGGTTACATGGCAAAAGTGCGTTGCTGATTTCGGAGTACGCACTGTATCAAGGTCTTGGGCCGGACCTTGTGTTGTTTATGCTCAGCCGTGCATAAATTTAGTCCTTGATTATACTTGTCACTGCCTCTGCCTCAGCCTATTGACAGTCATAGCCGGAGGATTTTGCAGGATTCAGGCAGTGGTCACCCCTCCATGGACCATATTCAAGAAACAATGGAGGAATTTGCAGGATTGAGGCTATATGCTATTTTTCCATGAGGCCAATTGGAGGATTTTGCAGGATTGAGGCTACATCCTAGCAAAAAGGCCTAGGGAGTTAGGGTTAATATTATATTGACAGTTCTGTACATGATTAACACTAACTAACAGGGGAAAGAATGTTGCAACCTGACGCTACTTCAGCGGTTGTGTACAAAGTCTATGGAGAGTCAAGAATTTTTTTAAAAGTATTTCCTAACAAAATTGGAAATGTTTCTCAGTCAAAGATTCATGTCTTATCATCACTTTTACAATGACTGACCTTCATTGAGATGATGTATGACCAAAAAAAACAGCGTCAGGTTGCAACATTCTTTCCCTAAAAACAGGGTGCGACTTTAGCGGCATAGGTATTTAGCCCGCTAGCCATGCTAGTCAAAACGGCGGCGGGCTAGTTAAACTATTCCTTCAGTAGCCCTGCTGGTGAGTCAACAATTAGCCTATTGGGCTACGGCAAAAGACAAGAGGACAGGAAGAAATTATTAATTTCTTTAATTAATGATTTAATTATTAAATCATTAAATTCAGAAAGCAAACATGTAGGTTGTGTCTATTTTGGAAAGATTGACATATCTGGCCATCACTAAATGTTCCCTTCACTTCAGTGGCCTATCAACCATCAGAAAGTGATATGCCCTAAAATGTCAAATTTAGCAGAGAAAATATTGAAGTATTTACCGAGAAAACACTTATAAGTTTTCAGACCATTCCCTAGCCCAGGTTTGGCGACGTTTTCATTGCATTAAGACTGACGTCCAGGGTATAAATTGTACCACCAACACCATAGCGAAAAAAATAACTCATTTCCCCCCCATATTTTTACCTGACGGAGGTAGCTGAAATTTCGCTTACATATTCCTTGTGTCCAGAATTGTGCCTGCGCTAGCGTTGAAAACATTTTCAGTACGAACTCCCCGCGTGAAGACGTACATGACGTACACGCACGTGCCGCGCCGTTTGCTGCCACTTGTTGCCGTGACAGCAGCGTGCTACGTGTGCATGCATGCGCGCGTAATCTTCACAAGGGGAGTTCGTACGGAAAATGTTTTCAACGCAAGCGTGGAATCGCTGTTTATTTTTGGTAAACACGCTGCCCGTGGGCATATTTGCCTTTTCTTAACCCAGCGCAGGCACAATTCTGGACACAAGGAATATGTAAATTGTAATTTGTATGTAAGCGAAATTTCAGCTTCCTCCGTCTGGTAAAAATATGGAAAAAATGTGTTATAATTTTTTTCGCTATGGCAGGAGAGATTCATACTGTGACAAAAATCAGCTTTTCCTTTAAATAATCTTTCCGTACTAGAGAATAGTCTGGTTTCCTTAACATGAATCTCGGACTACAGAATGGAGATGAAACTTGTTGATTTTAGGCCATTTTCAGCCCTCAAATCCAACTTTATTCACCTACTAGACTTACCAAATATTCGTAGTATTTATAGAATAATTCCACAATGATGTGAAGAAGCCATTAACTTTGCGTTACACTGTTGTTTCTTCCAGGTACTTACATGTATGCAAGTTTTATAACGTTCAAGTCATTTGACGTATGTGCACAGTGTTATTGAATGCACCCATTGTTTGTGTGTTATTGACTTTTGTACACAGGTTAATGATGTACTTAACTAATGCAGAGATTTCATCATCAGGGTTGGTGACTCGTTTTGCATACGCGATACGCGCTACGCGCACTTTTAGCCTATTGGAACGCGCGCGCTCACTGCGACCCAGATTCAGCCCTGCCAAAAGTGCATAAAAGGCGAGCTGGAACAGCAATCGAGCGCTCTGTTCGCTCCAGAACAAGCCCTGTGGGAAGAACCAAGCGGATGTCAGGATTCGGAAGAAGAAGAAGGAACAAGCAAGAGGGAACAAGCAAGAAGATGAAGAAACAAGAGGAATTGAAGAAGTAGCCTGAGGAAGAAGATAAGAAGAGACGAAGCACGAAGAAGAATAATACCGATGTCCACCCGGAAAAGGAAGCAACGTACAACGGCCAACGACAGCCCATGCATATACGCCATGTACTGTGTGTACATATCCGGATCCGCGCACAAAACATGCTTAATTAGACTTGCTATCAGTCCAATTGCGCACTGTGTTTAAGCGGCAGCAATTAGAATGTGCGTATGCAAACTAAAGTGACCCAATCTGATGAAGTGTTTAATTATTATTATTTGATGGTGATTGATTAAAACAAACAAGAAGTTTGATTGTGAATTATAGCCACTTGTCTCTGCTGCCTGACTGATTTATGTCAGTTATTGTCTTTTTAAGTAATCTGCCTCAGAATAAAGGTTTAGGGCAAGACTTTAGGCCAGACTCTTAGGCAAGACTTTAGGGTCAGACTTTATAGGGAAAGACTTAAGAGCCAGACTTTAGGCCTATAGGACAGACTCAAATTATATTGCCTCCTCCACCCCAGTCTTCCCTTTTCTATTGCGTTTGCGCGCCAAGTTATAGTCCAACCCCTCCCCTTACCCTTCCCCTATCCATAAAGTCATCGAGGCCTTGAAGAAAGCTACGCTACCAGACGAACTCCACTTGGGTCAGGTTGACGTCCTGAGATTGTGACGGCGCCCTCAACGCTGGTCCCGGTCAAGCACTAGCTCAGCCATACATCACCGATTTCTCCTGGTTGTTAATCCCGGCGGGTTTTTAGGAATTCGTTGTACCCCTGGGTATATCGAGCCCCGGATTCCCGTTACAATACCTTGGACGCCATTACTTATTCACAACTTAGTACAGTCGTTTTCCTAGTTCCGGATTTTTCCTAGTTCCGGATCGCTTCAAATAAAAACCTACCTCTTTTGGACTAGTCTCCAATAAAAAAAATTCTGACGAAGTGCATTGTGAAAAGGAAAATGTAAGCTTCCTGATACACACAGGTCTTTTCGATAAAACTTTGAGAAAAGGAATTTTGGCCAGATTTCCGACTCGCACTTTGACATGTTTGGACCGTTTGTAGAAAATCATGGGAGCTGCGAATCGACGATAAATTTTCTCCTCGGTATTTCTCTCGTACCGTGTGGTTTCGAATATTTTTTTCATTCACTACAGTCGTATAAACTCTTCCATCGAATGTGTGTTCAATCAAAATAATTTGTAGCGTCTCTAATATTTGAAAATTCGCCAACGAATGACGGTATGCTTTTGCCTAGTTCCGGATCGCGCGTGCACTTACGACCCAACTACACGCGCGTTAATCGATTTTGTGTGACGTATTCTGTGCCGTGTGCAAGGTTTTCGGTCCGTGCGTGAGTTCGTGCTGTTGCGCTGCAGACAAAAGTTTCACAATTATTTACGTTAATTCTCTTTTGAAAATTTGCTGGAATATCCCTTGAATGAACTTTTTTGGAAAATTTAATAATACTTCATCAGAAAATGTGCTTGATTTGGGGTGGTTCTGGCTGAAAAATTGATTTTTTTCGCGTGATTTTTTTTTTCGCACGAATCAGTTTTTGATCGATTCGGAACTGATTGAACCGATCCGGAACTAGGAAAAGCGGCATCGGTACTTTTGACGTCGTAAAGTCACAGTAAAAAGAGCTTAAATTTGGGAAATTATTTTGTAGTCTCTCCATCACTCAAGGTAAACTTTTAAACCAGTGTCACTTGAATTCGTGGAGAAGTTGAGCCGAAAGCAGCCTGAATGATGTTTGCTATCCGGAACTAGGAAAACGACTGTAATAGTACACAACTTAGTCCAACCTGGGCTAGTATTAAACCATTCCCATACTTTTGTGCACAGGTATGACAGGGTGTCAAGTGATGGCCAGATAATTATGGGAATCTCTTAGCTGGAGTTACCCAGCCCTGAATTTTATCATTGGGTTGTCATGTAAAGGCAAGTTTGGGGTGAGTTGCAGTTGCAATTAGTGTGTAACGGGGACAAAATTGAACATTTTCCAATTTCGCAATTTTTTTTGGGACCTGCTTACGCTGCTCGGTTACGTGAAAAATTAGCTCCAGCCCTACATGACAACCCAATGATAAAATTCAGGGCTGGGTAACTCCAGCTAGAAGGAATCTCTCTTCTAAATCATCGGGAAAAAAACCCATAAAATAACACTGCAATTGCAAATAGGCCTACAACTTATTATACAGAAGGTAGCCTACACAATGTATGTAAAATCTAACATAAGTAACAAGTAACAACAATTTTTAAACGAAATCTGCAACAAGCTGAAATGTGGCCCAATTTTTTTTGAAAGCGGCGCAGCATCGGCCTCGCGCTCAGGCCCCTCGCATCAGCTGCGACATGGCGGCCGGACGTATGTACATATACATGCAGAACGCGAACGGAGCAGAACAGACGGGCATCACAGATTATACGCCGCAGACCGTTGCCGGAAAAGTTACTCTTTAGCAACTTCTCAAGACATATAGCAACCAACACTGACACAAAATATAAACACATATCCATACCTGTTCCAGTGGAAGAAGTTGGTTCACCCATTTTGTCAAACATTTAAGATTTTGATGTGATCTTCTTTGTCAACCGCAGCCGATATCTGAACGAGAAAAGGTTGCGAAAAATAAAATGGCGACGACAATGAAATCCGTGACGTATTTCAGCCTAATATGCATTAATGAGCACGCGCTCGCGGATGTGATCGTGGCGGGCCAAATCACCGCATACTTCCTATCCTCTATTCAAGCAAAGTATTCTCAGTGAGGCCACGTGGACCCATTGTAATACACGTAGTTACAGGCGAGGACAAACGGTGAAGCCTTGAATAAAGACTACGCTTTCTAAAATTTGTTACATTTTCGTGACGCTGCATTTGACTATGAATAAAGTAGGTCTTCGTAGCTGCATCTGTAAAATTCTGCGCAGGATATCCCGCGCATGGGCGCCGAAAATGAGGCCTACTCTTCAACTTTGTTTACCCATAGATTTTATTTTCTTTAGTTGCATTGTTTCTTCTTTTCTTTATTTCCGCCGATTTTACAACGATCCACTGTAGTTTTTTTCACCAATCATTTAGAATAAATAATGATTATGCCAAACAACTCCCCGTGCGCATTAATTTTATGCGATAGCTGATGATCTTTTAATTAGCTGCTGATAACTTTAATTAAAATTCACCCAAGAATATAGCCTACCAACAATCTTGGAAGCTATGATAAATATTTGCAAGCATAACGTTTCTTAATGAACGTGACGTGTGAATTGGGAAGGCGGGCGCTTTTTAACAAGCCGGATTCCAAATGGAACATACAATTTATACAAAGTATACATTTCAACTTTTGTATACATTTTGTTCCTAACTTCGGTTGATTGATTGCAATGGGTTGCTCGCGTGACCCTCCGCGGATTGATATACGCGCATGAATCTCAACATAAACTTTAGCGCGTAAACTGAGTACTGGGTGCGGCGCGGCGACGGAGCATATGTGTGTATGATTTTATGATAAGTAGACTGCGGTTTTTGCACGCGCGGTATAAAAAGCTGTCCGCTGAGTAGATCTATCTCACACGAGTTGATTTCACTTTCTCATCAGGAGATACCCTTGCTTTGTCCGGAGCACACAAGCCAACTAGGTAAATAACACATTCGTTATTTTACTTAACAGATCATTAAATTGTACAGGCGCTTAATTTGTATTCTAACATTACGAATTTACGTTTGTGCACGAAGTGATTGAAAGCGATACAGCTAGCTTGCTGCAGCTAGCTGCACATCCATCCAAAGAAAATGTGGGCGTTGTCCGCAGATCAGACTTGATGCATGCATGCATGGCAGTGGTGGCGGGCGCACTAATCTTACTAAATACTCATAAAACTTACACCCATTATACTTTGTGACTGCGAACGTTCAATTCCTTTCCTTTCCACTCCACTTCTTTTGTAGATTGTAGACTAGCATAATGTCAGAGTAGACTAGTGAACATGGTGAAGTTCTCAACTAATGTGGCGCACTGCGCACTTGACTTTGTCTTAACTTTCACCACTCGCAATAGCCATTCCCCATCTACCGCCTTCTCATTGCTGTAGCTGCTTCTTTCATCTACATGAGCTTTCTTCAGTAGCTGTCACAAACTAGGTCAAATCAGTGCAACACTGCCTTGATGAAGCTTGAGTTACTATGCAATAATTTTTGTAGGCCTAGAATTAGAAAAGGCTAGATAGCCTACCAAACGTTAGATCTGTCTTGAAATTGAAAAGGCAGACGACGTCTAAAAAGTTGGTGTCTGGAAATTGGGCAAAAGTTAAGCAGACTGTCCCTGACCTTGCCCATCATCAGTCACGCCTGAACAAATTTAAATAAAGCCCTGTTAGACTGTAAAAGTTGTTTTAAACATGTGTGTTCCTACTCCTGTCCTAGGCAACTTGGAACCCATTCATCTGCCAAGGATTTCTTGTTCATAATCATAGTTGAGAGAGAAAAATGAGTGACTTAACTTAAACGTTGTTAACTAGCCGAGATTCACCACGGTTGAGTGCACACTTCACTCAGTATGTCGGCATGGTCGGTGACTGTTCCACACTGCATTTTAATTAGTACATTGCACCATCAGCATGATCAGAACGCCTAGGCCTATGCAGGACCACAAGTTTGTTCAATTCAAATGGGAAGAAATCGATGTTAGGCTGCTTTTTTTCTGCAGTTGTGTTAATTCTTTGTAGGGGGCCTACCACTGTGTTACAAAGGGTGTGGCATTTGCTGGGGCAGCTAAAAATTGACTTGGGCTCAAGCAAATAGCTGGCATATTTTGGGGATTAACTTCTACATGTATTGGCATTTGGCCAGAAAGGACCACACGCCCAATTCATCAGTCTAAATAGAAAAGAGAAATAAATGGATTAAAATAGTTGAGTTTAGTGGGTGTTTCTTTCTTCTTGCAAACATTCAGTAGCACGTGCTGGGAAAATGCATGCCATTAAAAGTGATAATTAGTTCAACTTTAAAAGCAGGTTTGTTTTGACGCAAAGCAAGCATGTGTTGATAGGCCCTAAATGTTATGTTCTAGTAAAAGTAGTATGAAGCTTTGACCTGAACCTTTCCTTTTTTGTTTTAGTCTGTCCATTTCCCCTTCATGTTTCCAACCTTTTCCCTGCCCCCATTCACACAAAAATCTACATAACTGTCACTGAAAGAATGCAGTATACATTTTATTTATTGAGTGGTCGGGCACAACCCAACCACTCTCTGTTATTGTTCTGATAAATCTTCTTTTTTTTTCCGGACAATACTTCTCCGCAGGTTTTCTCCTAAACGGTATATGGTATGAACTTGTAATTTTCAACATATATCGACCCGCATCTCTAGTGGTGCATATTACTCTGATGTCATGATGACGTCATCGGGTGTCAAATTACAAGTGATTTTCGTTGAAAAAAATGTTGATATTCTTTCACCTATAACTCTTGAACAAAATTATCAATTATTTTCCAGCCTTGTAGTCAGATAAACCATTAATTGATAAACATTTTATATCACGTACGTGAACTCACTTGACCTTTACTTCTGGGTCTACCGGAAGGTCAAAGTTAGGTCAATTCAAAACGAAGACTTAAGCCTGAAATCAAAATAAAGCATCATTTCTTCCAAACGGTTTAAGGTATGATCATAAAACCTAGTGTGAACTTGTACCATGTTACGAAGATGTTATAAATTTTGTTATGTCATCATGATGTCATCAGGTATCAAATTACAAGCGATTTAAGGGCAGATTTTGACAAAATAGTTTGCCCTATATCTTTTGAAGTAAATGGAGAATCGTGTTCGTTTTTTCCTGAGGTTGTAGACTTTTTTTCATTAAACACTCGGCAGTGTTTAATGAAAAAAATGCCTGCCCGACCACTCCGCCTTTGTAACAACAAACGCAAACCTCTAGTTTATTTATTATTGTTTTTTTTAAAAATTTTTTTAAGATGATCATCTTTCTTTCAAAAAAAACATTAAAATAGATGTATACTGCCTTCTTTCAAAAAAGTTTACTTTAATTAAGCTGTGGCTTGGTTGTAGAGTAGTACAATCACTAAATGTAGAAAGCTTCCTTTTCCATGATTTTCCGCTCTGGTTCTGTGTGTGTACATGATTCTCGCACCTGCATTAACAGCACATTGCATGCCCATGCACGATAACCTTGATGCGGTCTACTCAATTTGAACTTGAAGTGAACAGGTTGGTATGCTGATCTATCTTTGCAGGCATTTTTGATTTTTGCTTTGCAGTAGCATTAGGAAGAAGCATGACAAAACAAATTGCTTTGAAAAGTGCCTTACTTTACAGAGCTTCAGCACAAATTGCTCCTCCAAATTCATTTCTCACTACTACGACATGTTTTGCTTTTTTTTTTTTTTTGCATAATCTTTCTTGTATTGTTACAATATTAGCAGTATGGATCATGGTATTTGATTTTGGAAGATTCTGATTGTATTTCATTTTACATTTCTTAAAATTGGATATTTACTTATGTATTTACATGTATTTCTTATCACTTATTGTTTACAGCATATGATTTATGATCAGAGCTAAAATCCTTGGAACCATTTTCTTGACAAATTAAAAAAAAAGGGGTTTGAATGTTTGTTGTTGTTCATGTTGTTCACCGAGTTGACTTTCTGTGAATTGTAAAATCCCTGGGTTTTTTTTTTCTTGTAGAATCTCCAACATGGGTGACAAACCAGATGTAAAAGAAGTCGAGTCATTCGACAAGTCAAAATTGAAGAAGACGGAGACCCATGAAAAGAACCCACTACCGACCAAAGAAAGTATGTAGAGTCATTGACAGTCATCTCACTGATAAATTTGTTTTTTGTTTTTTAAATAAGAGTCTTGGGGATCAAAAAAAAAAAAAAGATTTACATGTTATTCTTGCTGGTTATGCTAGTTCTCTAAGTTCTATCGTGAATAATGTGTTGTCAGTTCAGTTGCAAAATTCCTTGTTACAATACACATAATCTACAATGGCCCTGAAAAATTGTCTGCCATTCCAGTTTTCAGAAGGTGGTCCAAGTAAAAAAGGCTTTGGATAGTCTAAAATGGTTTCCTTAGGTTTAAATGGAATGGAATCCCATTTCAAATGTGCTGAAAACATTTAAATTTAATCTCTGGTTAAAATGTTTTTAATTGTTCTCTTTTTTGTTTCTTTCTTTCTTTTCAGCAATTGAACAAGAAAAGCAGGGCTAGCATGGCATTCTCCTACTTGTATTTAGTACCAGTAGTTAGCTAATTATTCCAAAATGTTTCTACAAAATAGTCTTTGTTTTTCATATTTTATACGTTGGTTAAAGGGTCTGGTTTTTGTTAAACACTGTTTTGACAGGAGGCAAGTCAATCACACTGTTTGGTTCATCGTATATGCAGAGAATGTTTTGACGTTGTTACGCCTGTTCTTGTTAACTTCCAAAGTACTTGGTAATTCAACAACGAGTAGCATGTACAATAAACAGTGGACTACCAATATACCAATTTTATTATAGGAACCTTATAATTTTCGAATTTAACACTGCAATGCTACGCATGGGTTATTTGGCATTTCGTCATTGGATTTTGTAGTGTGGAGTAATGCACTATTTTGGTGTAATAAAGTCAGAAACCATCTTTGAGAGACTTTTTTAGTCTGTGCAGAACCAATGACAAGCCAGTTATCTAACATGTTTAGTTGCCTTACTTGCTCAGAATAAGCAAAGCTCTAGCAGCTGTAACCATTGTACAAATTAACAAACAAAAATTATAGCTTATACAATTTAAGAATGGAGTATGCCATGTTAGAAACGCCAAGTCCGAATGATGCAAGGCACCCCGGCCACGTTTCGTGTCGCCCAACATCCCACCACAAAACCGAGGAGGGGCCCAACTTCCTTGGACCAACGTCGTCGTCATCCAGTGCCTTCCGCAACCAGGATATGCTGTGGTCTTCCAAGATTTAAAGAGAGCTGACTTTAGTGTCTCTGGTTATGATTGACCAAGTTTACTGAGACTGCTCGCAGAGACTGGTTAGTTGAGCAATATTAAAACAGCAAAAAATTAAAACCAAAAAAAAACTATCGACGGATCCACTTGTTTGCTGCACCCTTGCATTGAGTTTGGCTGAAACAGTTCATGACAATATGGTTATTTTTCTGACATCTTGTAATATTTTACAAATTTTGAGAGAACTTGACTGTTTTTTTGTAACGATTGGATCTTGAGTGTTCGCCAGCCGAGGTTAATGTGTACATGTATATCATTTGGTTCTGGTCACTCAATGCTCGTGCGGTAGTGGGATACAATGCAGAACTTTTTTGCAATTGTTGGATGCGCACAGTTGGTCCATGTTCATGAAAGCGACACTAGCGCTGTTGCAGGAAAACAACTCAAATTGTACTATCTGTAAAGGAGTCGATCAATCCCACTACCAGTAAACTTGAAATTTTTGAAGCTGAAAGCCTGTTTATCAAGTTCAGTAATAAAATCTGGAAAAAGTGAATCTGTTTCTTTGCAATGTTTTTGTGTTCAGTGGTTTATATATACATGTATTCTATGTTGCCCATTTCCCTACCCCCGGAAGTTGCTCTAAAATTTTAGATCCACCTCTAAATTTTCCATTTACTAATTGACCCGTTTCTACAGCGATGAATGCCTAAAGTGGTATCTCTAATGCATGCAATAGTGTACCGAAGTGTGACATCGGCTGTCTTTGTTCAGGTTCACGCGCTGATGTATGCGCATGAACCAGAATACGCGGCACGCTTTGATACTCTTTACAGCTCCAAATTACTTTGTCAATTGAGAACACAATTCTACAATTAAGCATGAAATAAGTGCAGTACTTTTGAGTTGAAGTTGCCTATTTAAAACAAAAAAAATCCAAAATTGGGGTGTTAATCCCCTAGTGACTTAAGGCTTTCTAACTGATTGATGATTCAAAATATTACTTGTTTTTGTGGGCATGTGCATTCCCAGCAAGGGAACAAGACTTCATTCCACATTCTCCCCTGAAGAATCTTGTTTCATTAATCTTGAGGAAAATTAATTTGTAGCAGTCCCTATGAAAGTGAAGTGACTCCTTCCTTGATCTACATACAAAAAAATATTTTAAAATGGTGCAGAAAAGGGAAAGATTTCCATATAAGAAGTTCACTAATTTTCTTCTGTATTGACTACCAAGCCCCCAGATAGCAATTTCATGTCATCAAAGTCAATTTGAGCAGTGAGAAAAAAGCATTTTCTTAGAAAAAACTTAGAATTTTTCAGTCCAATCTCATAGGGTTTGTACACGGGGTGTTGAGTGAACTTCTTATCCCAGAAAAGCCCTCCCAATACAAAGAAATATTGGAAAAAATGTTGCAACCTGACGCCACTTCCGTGATTGTGTACAAGGTCTAGGGAGAGTCAAGAAAAGTTTCTTAGTATTTCCTAACAAAATTTGAAATATTTCTGTCTCCCAGATTCATGTCTTGCCATTTTTGCAATGACTGACCTTCATTGAGATGATATATGACGAAAAAAGTGGCGTCGGGCTGCAACATTTTTTTTCCGAAATATTGAAGAGAACAATAACGGAACTTCAAAGCAAGCACTAGTGATAAAGAACTTGAACTGTTAAAGCACTGTACTACATTGTCTATTTGTCCCTAATGAATCCATAAAATACAGTGCTGGGCAATGTTGGGGGAAGTATATGTGCATGAACTTGTAGCATGGAGGAAGGAATAGTAGGGAGAAACAAGTGGTTTCTGGTGTGACATGGAGCTATGATTAAAAGCTTTGAGCTGGCCCCATGTCAGGTTAAAGGCGCGGTTCATACTTCACGCGAAAGCGAAAGGGAATTTCACGACGTCAAGAGAAATTTCAGTGTGACTTTCTCTGTTACCGTAACCAATTTCGCTTCCCGCTGTCAATCGCATGAAGTATGAACTGGCGGGAAAAAATGTTGCAACCTGACGCCACTTCAGCGGTTGTGCACAAAGTCTATGGAGAGTCAAGGAAATTTTCCAAGTACTTCCTAACAAAATTGGAAATGTTTCTCAGTCCCAGATTCATGTCTTATCATAATTTTTGCAATAACTGACCCTCATTGAGATGATATATGAAGAAAAAAAAGTGGCATCAGGTTGCAACATTTTTCTGAACTGGCCTTCATTGGGAGAGCAAATTTGAATTTACCCACTCAAGGCATAGTGTGCCCTCACAGACCCATTGCCTATTGCTTCTTTCTATGACAGACTTCTCCAAAATGGGCGACAAACCAGATGTCTCTGGAGTCGAGACTTTCGACAAGTCAAAACTCAAGAAAACGGAAACGGAAGAGAGAAACACACTGCCGTCCAAGGACAGTGAGTACATGTGTAGGCAAGAACGCGCATATTTAAAGTAGACACCGACTGACGTTGCTTAATTTAGAATGAATTGCAGGGGGTTCTTGTATCAAATGAATAGTACAAGATACTAATGGAAAACCCACACAGGTGATTGGAACATGGAATGATGCAGTGTGTCTGTGTCCAGTATGCCATAAGGCCTAACGGCAAGCAAGATGATGCAGAGTTCAAGATACAACTGTGGCAAGGCCGGATCCAGAAAGAAAAAAAAAATTGGGGGGGGGCGGGATTTTTTTTTGTTCCCCGAAAAAGTGGTTCTAAAAAATTTCCGCCCCAAAATTTAATATGAAAAGCAAGGGATGGGGACAAATGTATTGCTTTTGTTGGGTTTTATGGTTGGTGTACGCATTGGCTGCCTTTTTTACGATGTCACTAAAAAAAAAAAAAGCAGAAAAAAGGCCCCCGTTGACCCTATTGTTGCCATGGACCGGGATTGACCAATCAGGATCGAGGGTACAAGTTTGCATGAAGACAAATGTAAATGGCAGAACTGTTGTATTTAAGAGCATATTTCTACCATTGGCACAAAGAAGGGTTAAGTTCTAATACACAAAACTGAATATTTTCAATAACTTTCTTCAGTATTCATTGAATGTCGTATTCTTTTTTGTCTTTCAGCAATCGCACAGGAGAAAAAGTCCTAACATGGCAGTCTCCATGGACATGTACTTAGCGCTTGTAGTTTTCTGAATAATTCTTCAAGTAGTTGTTTTTTATATAAGAAGCTCTTAAAAGTGTTTTATTGCATAACATGTTGGCTTAAATTTCAAGTGTTGGGGCCATGGGCTATAAAGTACTCATTCTGTAATTAACACAGGAACGTTCAACACACTGGGGCACATTCAACTCGCAAGAACACTGGAATGCACTTGCTGTACAACTTTTGCAGAACTTTTTCCACTTCACGTTCACAAAACTACTGCAAACTTGCTCAAAGCTTTGAGATCAAGTGAGTGGAACACACCCCGATTTCTCTGCCTTTCTTGATAGATTTACAAGTGTCTACGAAATGCAGTATAAATATATGCAAACCCTGTATAATGGACATTGTCTCAAGTACAGAAATTAGTAGCATTTCACAACAGCTAAACCAAATTACAAAGGAAGTTGCCTGTTTATGGTGTTCGTTACTAGAGGCTCAATTGTGACAAAGGCTTCTTGTTTAAATGTGTTCAACAGTAACCGATTTCCACAATTGCGTCAACTATATCGAATTGAAGTTGGTTAATGTAGTTTTCCTGTTTTATATTGTATTTCTGAGAACAGTTTATTAGGTGATTATCGTTTGTTGTGCCCAGCAAATTGTGTTGCATTTTTCCGTGGCTTTTAGTTCTGTCTGAAATGTGTCAATATGTTGGGCTCAAGAAATGAACAGTTACTAATTTACAAAGAGTTGTCTAAATTGTTCTAAAAAATTATTACCAAATAGTAGGTTGTGCATCACGTTTAGTGTGAGTGAACAGTTTTGTACGTTAGTATGTTTTGGATATAGCAATGTTATGATGGAAACATTCCGCACACTGCAAGGACGATGTGGCCACGAGTTCATTCACCCCTAACATCCCACCACTTCAAGGGGAATGTGAGCCTCTTTGTGGGAGCACCATGCACCGGGCGTTTGGACATGATGTGACTTCTACCTCTACACACCGGGACAGACTCCACAGTACATGTATATCAAGAGCTGTAACCAGTACTAGGTTGTATCACGGAGTGCATGCACACAAAGACTGGTTCATTGCCAACAACAATTTGAAGCTGGGGAACACACACTTGCTTCAAACCAAGGACGATACGGCTTAATGCCTAACAAACAAACAGAGGAACTACTTTGCAGTTTTCCCTCTCGTGTGATTATCAGTAGAACAACGACTGGCATCATAACTTCCCTTCCAGGGATGATTGAATACGAAAATGCAAAACGTTTTCATGTGCAGTTAATGTATTCAATGTTTACAGAAAGCTATGCAAATTGTACATTGTACTGGCCTTGAAAAAGTTTTCCGCCTGCTTTTTTGTAAAAATCACAGAATTCTTTATGGGATGAAATAGAAACTTTTATTTGCCAACAACAGACTGAAAATATCGAAGCGTACAAGCTGGATTGTGTGCAAGCAGTTTTTCTAATGAGGAAAAGTGCTGAACAAGTTAATGTTTCTAATTCATCCCACTATATAAAAATTGTGAAATGCCAAGCCTGCTTATTTGGTTCAGTTACTAATAAAAAAATTTGGAAAAGAACCCTGTATTTCTCTCCCTTTTCTTAATTGCTAAAGGGACTCAAAGGTTAAAAGGGAAAAATACTGAATAGGCAATGTCAAATTCAAGTCTTGGTTTAATTTTATTCATTCCCCACAATTGAGAAATTTGCATTTATCACAAGATAAAAATTAACAACGCTTGATGTCTGGATAAGCTCCATACTTTTAAAAGCAAAAGACAGTAGTTGATTTGCTATGTGCATATAAAAAATATGTTAATAAAAAATTACCTCAATTTTTAGCAGGAAAAAGAGAAAAAAATTATTTAAAACTGGAAGATCGAAGACAAGCGCAACCTCCTATCCATCAAATCTGGAATATCGGTATGAGATTGGTTTTGAATAACCAAGATCATTTTTGACAGTCATCTGCCCTAAACTGTCATCTTCTTTGAGAATTATCCTCGCCAAACAGACCAAGAAATTGAACAATATTAATCAGGACAACAGTGTGGCAAAACTCAAGTTGGTAATTCTCGGTCACTGGATATTCGTGTTCAGCATCAGTGGTCATCAATTCGGTCTTCAACTTTGGCTTGTAAAAAACACACGGAACAGACGTTTCTGCTTTGCAGCTGTACGTAGCTGATACTGATAAACTCGCTTATTCTTGACCTATTGGTAAATGAATTTCAGCCGTGTTACCACAATCTTGTTCTGTAAGCCAGACACAATCTCTAGTTTTTGGGTTCCCATCTATGGACCGCCCCTCCTTTGTTTCTTCGTTGGTGGGGGTTGGGACTCCACCTCTCTGGTGGGCTCCGCGGGTTGAGGGTCGACACTAAAACCTGAAACCTAAAATTTGAACAAAAGGGGAGAAACATCAAAGTGAAATGGTCAAAATTGATGGGGAAATACGGAATCCATACAAAACTGAATCGACGTTTGAAATGCATTCGTGCATCCGAAAGTCAAAACAAACTTTTGTTTGCAATTATTTTCTTAAAGAACATCATTATTGTTCCCTGGATGCGATATTTTCCCAGATTCAGCGATTTTACTGCATTATTATTATTATTTTTTTTTCAAAATAGTTATCAAAAAAGAAAAACAAGGAAAATACTGGGCAGGTTTTTATGAAAACAAACTATTATATTAAGTAGAGTGAATGATAAACCTCTCAATGCCTTCACATCGTACAATTTTATGGAAATTTGTAAAAAACAATTTAAAATTTGTGGAAAGGCTGCAGATGCACCAAAATAATCATAGCATGTGCCAAGGGTATGTTGCGCATCTTCTCCTCAGTTCTTCACTATATTTAGTTGTCCAATTAAAACCAACCGGCGGTATTTATGTCTGGAAATTCCTGTTTGACTAATCGCGCGTCTGCCGTCGGAGTCATCTGTTGGAATGGTTAACTCCCAACTGATCCTGGTCCGCAACATTTCAGGCATTTTTTATGTGGCATCTTAAAGGTATGTCTGGACATTTATTTTTAAGTCTAGTGCGGTAGAGATAAATAAGGAGGACTTTAACCTGACACCGGAAAAATCTTCAAACGATTTTTGGCACGTAAACATGATAAGATCGTCCAGAATTTCATCAATCATTGACAGCATTTTTTTTATGGTTTGTTTTACAAAGTTAAAGATGTGTTCCCTGTTCTAAACTCGAAATATAGATTTGTGTTATCAATTGCTTTTTTCCTAGAATTTGAATGAGACAATTAAAAGAAAAAAATCCAACAACGTTTACTAGTTATTGAAAAATTTTTCTTCATAAGATTGACTTTGCGTCAGGGTGATGTAAATCAATATTAGATCTTGCCCTGCACCGACGCATAAACACTGTATACTCAGTGCGAATTGTTCTTCACAAAATTTGAATTATTGGCCGCGCAGGGCGGATTCATTTGTGAGAAGAGGGTTGCAGATGCCAAAACTTGTCATAAAGTATTGTTTTTGTTCATTTAAAACAAAACATTTAAATTGAAAATTTATTAGAAGAAAAAAAAAAAAGATTTTTTTTTTTGAAAAACAAAAAAACAACACAACTCTCCCGATTAAAAGATTAAAGCACATGGCATAATCTTGAATGAAGTTATGGAAAAGACATGTAATTGCATTTTCAAAACAAAATTTCTGATTAAATAATTCACTTCATTTTACCTTAGTGCCCAACGTTGTTTATTATGCGATCCTTTTTTTGTTTAATCACCATTCCTGAATACATTTCACCTTTTGAGGGTAACAAAAATCCATGTCTCAGGTGACATGGACCATTTTTTTTATTCCTCCATGAATCGACACACACACTAGACTCACCTTTGGCTCCACAAGTTTCATTCGCAGCTTTTGGTGCTGGATGTTGGAGGTCTCTGCACTGATCTGAACTCTGACCTTGTCAAAACCTCGCAGGGTGACATTCCCTGCTGACTGAGTGCATTCCTAAAAAAAAATGACAAAAATATAAGTGTTGTGGAGAAACTTCCAAATTCAAGTTCGGTGCAGAGTTGTTTGAACTTTCTCATTCTGGAAACAAAAATCTTGAACTTGAAGGGAAAACAAATGAGCTGTATTTTACAGGCGTGAGAAAAATCAGACTTTTTAAACCTGAGAATAAGACATTATAATATCAGTAAAGAAAGAAATGCAGTTTTAACCAGATCGGAAGGTTTTGCAGTAATCGGAACGAATGACGGATAAACAAGCAACGAGTGAGGCTGGAAATATCTGTCTGCGACCCGCTCGCAGTGAGCGAGGCCGGAAATATCAGGGTGTTCTACCCGCAGATGACGGCCTGAACCCACCTGGCATCGAGGTTCGTGAAAGCAATCCTGCGCCTGGATCCCGTCAATGTCAAAATAATCCTGGCGCAAACTGGTTAAGACCTTTCATCCAATATTCAGACTTTTAAAATTCACAATCTCAATCCGCATCTTAGAGCAGATCGAAAAGATAGAGCTGGCATATGGGAAGTGAGATGCAGAAATCTAAAGGAACTCTTTTAAACTTACAAAGTTATCTTCATCTATTAAAAAAAAAAAAAACCAAAACACGAAAGCTGTTAAAGTTTGCAGGGCTTAAGAATTAATTGTTTTATATTCCATGACCTCATTGCTTAATGTTGCCCTGGGTCGATGGAGAAGAAAAACCTTTCTATGTGCCAAGAGCAAGAAAAAACATGCACGCACAATTCAAGGAAATAAATAATAGTCAAAGTAAAAATGGACAACAATTTAATTGCTTTTTTCCCGCTGTTGGGAGGGGAATATTCAGGAAGTGTTTGCATTGTTTGTCGTCGACAGACCTCCATGAAGATATTAATAAGGCCAAAAAAAAAAGTCTCCGGTTTCTGGCATGCGCGCGCGTCGCCATAGCCATGCGTGACGGCAAAATGAAAAAGTTTTTTTTTCAATGCAAGATGATGTCTCAAAACCGCCAAACTCACTGGTTTGACTGGAATACTACTGCTGAACAATTTTAACGTGTTTTTAGATTGGGTTATGGTCGAGAATAAGCTTTATGTGGCCTCTCTGGACTCCCATATTATTTGCACTAAGTTTAGTCAGGCACCATTTGCAGTCATCAGCACACATTTGAAGCAAAAAAATCAGGTAAAAAAAAAAAAAAAAGCCGCGTCACCGCATCACTTTTTGGGCAAGCCCAACCAGAAACCGGAGACTTTTTTTTTTGGCCTAATGGATCCGTAAGGAAATTACCTGAAATTCAGACAGTTTCAACAATCATGCCTGCATATTTGATCACTATAATGATACACAGTTCTTCAGTCAACATAATTTCGTTATGATGGTTTAAATAATTAACAAAACAGGACACAATTCACAAACGCTTGTCAAAAACTGCAAAAAACACATTGAACAGACAATGTCATGTATAAAGAATAAGCACCCATTGCCAAAGGCTTAGGGAAATAATGTAAACAAAACAAGCAGGAGACAGATGGTATGGGGGAAAAAAAAGCACATTTCTACAATAAAAGGCAGACACTAAGGAAAATCATGTAACGCCTCGCTTGGATGCACAATATTATTGCTTGACTTATTTCCGAGACACCACGGACTGAATGATGTGTCGGGGAACACCATCTGCCATTAAATGTCATATGACAGCCTCTGCATTCAGCCAAACTGAGAAAATATCTGGGACACGGCTTTCTTGCCAGCTAGGGAAAAAACCTGGTTCCCCTGTAATTAATCAGAATTGTAGGTTTGGCCTCATTAACCGTTCCCTGTTAAAGTCACATGATTGCACTCAATAACTGCACTGCCAAAGTGGACTTTGGGGAAATAAAATGAATATAACTAATACAGTTTAAACTGCTATCTTGCTTTCGTTAAGGTAACCCAGCTAAATTTGAGCAAGGATGATGCATTGTAAAATATAACCATTTATTGCATTACGTTTCAGACCCAAACCCTACTGAATCCACTAATATTCAATAATGTGATATTTTTGCTGGGTATATTGATCTGTGTAGAATCCAACAGAATTGTGTTCTAGCCGTTGGATTCTGATGGATTCAGCTGTCTTCACTTCTATCTTTGTAAGATTCTGTTAGATTCAGCCTGTACCGGTACCAGGAAAATACTGGGGTAGGTTTCAAGGACAAAACTGCGAGGGAAACTCAAGGGGAACAGAGGGGGAAAAGGAAGGAAAATCCCCCATTTTACAAACAAACAATTTGTTCCCTGCAAATAGATTTTGCCAGGGGGCAAATTATCGGACTGTTAAAACTCTATAAACTAAAAAGATTAAGGATTGTTTGTCAATTTTTTTAATAATAAGAATCAGAAATACACAAGGAAGCAAAATGCCAGCGATGATGTGGCATTCTACGGTCAGCGATTTCCACTCAAGCATGGAGCAAGCTTTACAAAAAAGGTATTTAAAGGTAAATTCTCTGGACCCTGGCGGTAAAATGGGGATTTTTTTCTCGCGAGAATACCAGCAGTGACAATAAAAGAGTCAATCATCCAATTATTAAATATGTACATTATTGAATAGTTCTGTATACCTAAGGTTGCTTTGTGCATCTAAAAAAAAATCCACTACCATTTTTGGAAGTTGTCCTCGATGAATTTCTCATTTTTTTTTTTTTTCCTGTTGAAGTCAAAAAAAGTGACTAGATTTTTTGCTTTTTTTGGGGGGGGGGGGGAGTGTGGCCTAGTGGTTAGGGTTGTGACTCATGATCAGAGGGTCAGGGATTCAAATCCAGCTGCTGGCCATATGGTGTGTCCTTGGGCAAGCCACTTCACCCCAACTTGCCTCTCTCCACCCAGGAGTATAAATGGGTACCGGCATTAGCTGGGGAGTAACCTGTGATGGACTAGCATCCCGTCCAGGGGTTATGGAAATATTCTCGGTCGTTTCATGCTATTGAAACGGAAGATAAACACCGGCCTGATGGGCCACATTGGCTCATGACAGTCTTTACTTTATTTTTACTTTTTGTCCTCACTGAATTTATAGTTCTTTTTTTTAGAGCAGATACATTTTGGGCCCTTTGGAATAAACTTCTGAAACGGTGACATTTGAATGACTCGCCTGCCATTCCAAGAAGGCAACGGATAGTGCATTTTCATTACGTACTCAAGTTCATATTACAACTGCACTATCACGCTGGCCGAGGGCAATGGAAACAATTCCTCTGGTTTCCTCCCGAGTTTAAAGATGGAATATCCGCCCTGCTGAAAAATAAATTACAAGTAATGGATTTCTCCCTGGTAACCACTTAAAAAGGAAACAAGCATTTTAGATCAAAAAGCCCTCACTACACATATTCTGCAGTCTAAAATTTGGTTTCCACATTGTGAATAACGCATGCAGACTATGGGAATAAGGATGGATACAATTCAAAATTTAAAATTTATTTCATCTGTATTTTTTTTATCATGGGATGATTTTTTGGGTTTGATGGCTCATGAGAAAACTCACAACTTAGATAAATACTAAAAAGAAAATAGTTTTCATGGGGGAGATCTCTATTTCCAAAGAGTGAAACTATAGAGAACAGACGATTTGGAATGAAAATCACTCAAATTTTGATTGAAAATTCTCTGGAAAAAAATCTGTGGAAAATCGACTGAAAACTCAATCTAATGGAATGAATAAATTTTACTCTTAAACATCTGGTCCCTAGGTTTCAACTGTGGGAGTGAGCGTTCACTCGAATGGAGGGAATTTTCACTCATTCGGTAAAAAGGAGTCCGCTGTTTGTGCTCAGAAACAAAATTTTGAATGCTCCTATTAAAGTACACCTTAATTGCAGGCAGCATAAATAGACTCTCTGAAATATTACTGTTTATTTACACTGTTTATTTTTGATCAAGATAAATAAATTGCCACAAGTTAATTTAACTGAAATCTGTCAAAGATAAAATCTAGATAATGTGGGACAATTTAAACAAACGCTGGTGAGTCATCACAACTACACATGCAAGAATTTTATGTTAAACACTGATAGAAAATAAACACCAGACTGATTAGGGATGTGCCTCGGCACTGGGTACCCGAACCGGTTCCAGATTATGGGATCGAGTTCCCTAAGTCATAACCAACCTTACAAATAACTCAGTAACTTCTCAGACAATTTAAAAGAAAGGTTTTGAATGCCATTTGAGGGGAATTTTCAAAAAGAAAACCAGGCTACATGGAAAACCAAAACAGATTTCATATTTATGTGCATATTAACGAAGTTGCACTTTACACTGTCAGACGCCACCAATATTCACACTGTTTGTTAAGTTTTGTTAAGGACTAGAGTTTCTGACAATTGAGGAAATTTACCAGGTTGCTGGTTTTTTTGGGGGGATCATCTTCAGTTGCAATATTTTAATAGGGTGCCCGGTTCCCCGTACAACCGGTAAATGTACACCACTAAAACTGACAAATTACTATACAAACAAAAGTGCATCTGGCTTTCATAAAACTACCCAAATAATGAAGCAAGTAAGAGAAAACCTTCCTTTTATACAAAAATAAATTGGCCATTATATCACTGGATAATAAGAACCAAGTCTCTCAAATGTGGTCCAGACAAGTCCAGCAAAGCAAGCAGCAGGAAGTCATCTAATCAAGAGAACAAAATAAAGACAATGAATTGAGTGCCACGGTCAGCTCACAGTCTCATCTATTCTTATCAGGACAATTTGTCAAACTAGACACCTCGTTAAATGGCGCAGGCCTGATGTGTTGTCAATTAGGGGTCCTCTCATGCATTTAATGGTACCCTGGAGAGTACTGACTGTGGCATATCAATATAAGGACAAAAATGGGAACTCATTATGCTGGACATTTCTTCTTTTTCTTTTAGCTGGAGGAAGGAAGTTACTTTACTTTGGAACTAGAGTTATTGGAGGAGCAAACTGAAGGACTTTTTCATTAAATTTTCCATCACTCTATACCTCGATACTGCCAACATTAAAACACCCTCCTCCCCTGATTAATCTAACTGAAGGTTTTGGGGATTTTCTATTTTTTTGTTTAGGAGGGAAGAGAAGCCTGCCACCGTTTCTTGACATAGGGATTCAAGCTCTTTTTGAAAGTGAAAAGAACTCTGAAAAAGTGGGGAATTTTAGAGGCTTCACAAAAGTTCGTAGCAAGAAAATGGGGAGATCAGGTCAAGATACATGAAATTACAGGAGGATCAGATAATAGTGATGGAATTTAAGAGTTTCAGTTTAAAATCTATTTTTTGATTGAATTATTTCCCCGAAGGGAGTGGGCCGAATCCCGGATGTAGTGCTATACCGGGCCAACCCGTGGCCGGGACGAGGCAAGCCCCTATTCCACGGCCCAAATCCAAAAATCAGTTTAATATACTGGCTGCTCGATGAGCAGCGTTTCAGATATTAAGCTGAAAAGAACAGATACTACACATGATCTTAGCCAAAAGGCCGAGAAGCGATACCAAACAGGAATTTCGGACGCCTAGACTATGCCCGGACCGTTCACAGCAATCACAGTGCGGCAAATTCAACTGCCGTTTTGTGTCTCTTTCTAATAAGCCAGCCCGTGCAAAAATAGTACAACAGTTACCCAACCAAATTCCAACTCGAAGCAGTTTCCACTTTTAAAAATAAGCATTTCTCTTTCCATTTATAAGCATTTTTAGAGGGACTTGGCAAAAATGAATATGCAGTTGTAAAAAGTGAATATGCAGTGGCTGGAGGTCAGGACGTCTGCGCAAAACGCAATCTGCATTGATAACGTGAACAAAGGTCATAGTACCAGATTCACGCACAGTGTGTGCACACAGCTGGCCCTGCACACACAGAGGTTTCTGTGTGTGTTCCTTCCTCCATGGTGTCACTAACGAAGCCTTTCAGGAAATGCAAATCCAAAATCCATACACAAGCACAAGCACGGACAATCTGTGTACAATGTACATGTACATGTACAAGCATGGTGCAAGTGACTTCACAATGTGTACAGACACATTACACCCCATGACTTTATTTACTAATGAATCCTCTCTGCACAGCCAAAACATGATCTGTAAAAGTTCATTCATGTGACTCCACAACTTCTCTTTACACTGTAATTTGTCGGATCCCTCAGGCTGCATAAGTAGACATGAACAGTTGACAGCTGACTTCATGTACAGCTGTACATGTACTATGTACATGTACATCATATATGAAGTGGTGTAAAATAAACACTTCTACATGTACATGTATGTTAACGCAGACTTGTATACAAACATCATCTAGCCATTCCACAAACATAAGTACATGTGCATGCTGGCTACATGCAAACTACTGTCTTTCTTTCTACCTATCAAAATTTTCCCCACAGTTTTCCAAAAGAGACCTGTCTGAGAAAAACAAAATATCTCGTGCATGTACATGTGCATGTACAGTGCATGTACATGTACAATGTACATGTCTGAAGTCTGTCAATGATTATCCACAATCAACACTTAACACATCTCATTACAAGCAATGAAGCACTAGGTCTGCTTTTCAATCCATACCGCCTCTCAGTTTTAGAAGGAAATCAACTACTTCAACTCAAAATGTAACTTTTGTTATAAAAACTTCAGGCTGTTAGCTGGACTATGTGTTGAGGTTAAATGAGGTAATCCTGGCCATTTTTAGCTCAGTATTTGACAGAACTCCCAAGAGAGTCCTTGGGAAGAGTGGCTTTATTTGTGGCACACTTGACTCAATCTGCCAGCAGTAATGACCCCACTGAAGGTGTACCATTTCACTTCCTTGATTGTGTGGTCAGTTTCCAAGTTGGAAACCTCAAAACATGAATGGAACTGTGGAGACATTGTTTGGAAAACTTTCCAGTGAAGTTTGGACACTATGAAGTACAATTTCATTAAAATCCTAATACTGAATGAATAACATCAGTCCCTTGTATGGTACCTGTCAGGATTTCAGTACAAATTGCAGCATGCTACATAATCATTGAAGACTATAGTGAGTTGGGCCCAATCCCAGTCAGGATTATTTTACTCAATGACTCGGGGAGACAGTCGGTCAGTAAGTCAGTCATTGACTCAAACAGTAGGGTGGCCCATAAATGAAGACCCCAAAACAAGAGTACACAGATGGGTCCTTCTACAAAAAAGTTGGGTCCACTTTTTTTTCTATCCCTGTTACATCTGACATCTATGATTTTATAATTCTGATGCTCTCCTTAATAACCCTCCTGCTATTTAAGAGGTCACAAACAGTCAAAATTTCCTTCCTCACCCCCTTGGCATACTGTTAACAAACCAATGGGGGTCTTGACCAATACTGGCCCCAGTAATGTTTTCATAGGAGGGTTTTAATGCAGTCTTCCTCCAAGAGTGATTACAAATATCAAAGTACATGTACCTTCAAAACAAATAAAACACTGGTTTAAAGTCATACTTAATGATACTTGAATTGCAAATAACAAAGTATCAAAGTAACAGGGGCAGGAAAAATGTCACACTTTGGATCCTAGATTTACAGAACAACCCATATTTTGAATTGTCCTACCTCTTCGTTGTACTTGAAGAGTCCATCTTTGTCCTTGTCCGGTCCTCTCAGGAAAAGAGTTCCCTCAAATCCGTACTTGGGGATGAAGACCTGCACGGCATTCTTACGGACGAAGATGATGAAGCCTTCCTCATCCAGTATCTTGTCTTTGAGGAAGATCTGAAGCAGATGGGAAGAATTGAAATTTGTTTTCACAAAGAGACCGAAACTGATACAGGACCCTGGAAAGGCAGGAAATTGGGATATTTGTCTTCGCCCTTGACCAATATAATTTAGTGAGCACTAAACTTTCAGAGCTGACTGAGAACTTGTGAAGTTGTGACCAAAAAAAATGCTTATTTGGATGGGAATCGAACCCACGACCTCCTGTGAAAGCTAGCCCTGGTTTTAAGAAAAGGTAATGACAGTAATAAAGGCAAGGATATTTTACTTTTTTAAGGGGAACGGTTGTGCTGAAAAGGGATTGCAGGGACCACTGGAAGAGCACTATGAAATGTTTCAATTAAATCACAAAATCTTTCGATCAGAATTATTTAGGACATGTTGGGAACTTTTTTCCAGTGGGGTATGTAAGTTTTTTAAAACATCTACAAAATTCACCATGAACAACTCAGCTTGCCCATGCACTCTTCTTTTACTATACTCCCGAGGACAATGCTTTGTGTTTCCCTTTGTCACTGTAATATAACACTCTTCCATAAACTAAGCACACAAACCTACTCAAGGACCGTTTTGATTAAAAGACCCAACTCCCGAGGACTGAAAGGATCTGTTGTTCTCCCTTTATGTGTCAGTCCTTGGGGCTATGTAGAACAGTACACATATTCCAACCATACACAGCAAAAAAAAGTATCACACCTTGGAAAATTAGAATTTTATTACTGGTACATTTACAATAAGCTGGTTAATTGGATTATTGTGATGGGATACCTGTTTATGCACATGGTCTTTCTATTTTTATTTCTGTGCCATATGTTAAATGAATCTCATTTGTTAAACTGTTTTTCATTTCCTCGACTCCAACAGGATTTCCTGAACTCCTAAAGAATACAAGCCATCAAAAGTAGGAAAGCACTGCAATTAAGGCTTGCTATGAACACCGAGAAAGTACAAAGTGTAGAGAAGTTCCCTTGCTCTTTGGCTCAAGTTACCTGCTTGCAATGTGAGAGTTGTCCTTGAAATAATAACCCAGGCCCTTGTCAACATTACACGGCTATGACTGGCCATCACACATGTGCGTGTCTATGGATAGTGGCTTTGACTGCTTCCATAGACACATGCATTACAGCAAGCCGTAGCCAAAGTGATTCGAACACAGCCAAACAACATCTGTCTGGAGACTATTTGTTGTATCAGTGGGAGGTTTGGAAGGCTTGGTAGGTCTTTGAGGTCAATCCCTGTCTAGCTTGGGCTGGGCTGGGGCAGGGTGATAAGAAATACTGCAAATAGGATTAGCATTTAACTGGGCCATCAGGGACTGCATTATTTGTGTTGTTAAGTCTTGAGTAGATGGGGGCATGGTGTGATATTCAGAAATGCATTTTAGTGTACAAATACGTGTCCAGACTTAATTGCTGAAGTTGTCAGTTGGAGGATCCCTATATACTGGGAATTCAGTTGCAACTTTTTTCAAAAGTTTTGCAGATTTTGGTGTTTCATTTAGTAACAAATTAAATTTGTTTTTAAATTTAATTATTTTTTTTCTGCATTAAAAATGTCTTCCATATTGCATCTGGGTACATGTATCTAAGACCCTACAATACATAGGATAAAATAATTTGACAATTTTGAAATTATGACCTTTGACAAATGCAAATTCAATAGTGCAACATACTTTAGGCCAAGCATTACATCAATACATGGTGTAACTGCATGCACATTTTCTCACTTTTTACTACCATTCTAATAAAAATGCAAAGCTTTCTTTATTTCCAAATGACCTTAAGAGAGTTTATAGCTACGCAGCTATAAAAATGCATGAGCCTTGGTCATCGCATATTTAGGCTAGATTTTGCAATCTGTCAAGTTCATTAATAATTCTTGTACACTGTGGTTGAATATTCTATACAAATTGGCTCTTTTCTATGCTGTGTTCAGTCACTGCATATTTCTGCTCCATATTTCCTTCTGATCAAACTTTTCATCAAAATGTACAACTTTTTCACCACACCAAATATGGAAGCAACAAAATCTAAAGTCTAAACAAGGAAACGTGGGTGAATATAAGTGTGTAGTGACTCACACTACCAAATATGGTTACTGTCAACGACAATGATGTCATAAAGAAAGGCAAATAGCCAACTTGAAAGCTACGGTAGTAATAAAAGGACCACTTGTAGTTGTACACAAAAGCGCTTTGAAATACCAGTAGATAAGGAAAAATGCCTGGTTGAAAAAGCAAAGGGCAAGCAAGGTCAAACCCCTAGCCCTGTGCAACTATGGTACTATGCAAAGGCCATGGAGCTTTTTACACTGCAAATATGTCTCACGGACATACCCCTGTGCACGGCTAATGCAATTGAAATGTCTAGACAAATGTTCAACCTTTATGGTGGGTAGCATTCAGGGAGAACTTTCTGGAAAGACAATGACAAGCACATTGGCATGTGGGTTTGTGTTCTGTACATAAAGAATTGCATGGATACAGAGAGTTGCTGAATTAAACGCTCACACATACATGAATAGTACCTGGACTTTTGTCAAATTGAGCAGGGAATAAATTCTGCAGTGAGCATTCGAAAAGTGACTGGAGCGAAGTTAATAAAGCGATTCAACCTTGCATGAGTGAGGATGTGGAACGGGGAAAAACAACAAATTTTGCAATCTTTTATACTGACCTGCTGAACACACAAACTAATAGGACTTGTGCAAACCATGGAACTGACCTACATGTATGTGGCCTTGGTTCTAGCTATTTCCTCCTTGAAATAAAATGCAAACAGCCGAAGGCTGTTGAGGTATCAGAGGGGGGATTTTCAAGTTCTTCCATGTTCAGAGGAAGAACTTTAAAGGGCCATGTAATGTAATTTTTAATCCTTGAAATGCACCTTTGGATCAGATTTAATCTTAATTTCAATTTCCATTTTGCCATTTTTTAAGGGCGTTTTGGTGCCTTTTTGGTTTATATGTTAATACTAATTTCCATATTCGTGAGCAAAAGTGTGATGTCATTTCAGGCAGAAACCTCAATGCCATATAGCTATTCTAGCGCCAAAATTTGCCAGAATTTTGGATATTTTGATTTCGCAATTTTTTTTTCTTTGGTGATAAATTCGTTGTTGTTTTGATACATGATAGCATGGAGGTAGCCTCCATGATGGCAGTAAGCCAATGAGCAAAGTTTTTTTCACAAATGTTTTCAATGAGCAAATTTTGGGTTCACAATTTGAACAGAAAACCCCAAACACGAAAAGTGTCTTCCTTAAATGACATCACAGCAACAGCGCCCTCATTGGTCAGGAAAAGCACGGCCAATTTCAAATGTTTTTAAAAAGTGCCCTTCTCCATAAAATTAACCCAAAAAAGGGGTGTCAAATAGATTTCATACATTTTAAGAGTAAAAAGTTGCACAAAATATGTAAAAGTTATTCAATGTGCAGAGAAAACCAAACTCCGATCTCGTGTTGGAATGATCTATTCCTGCCAATGAGAGGTAAATTATTCAACTTCAAATGAAATCTAATGGAGTGCTTTTGTCTAAAAAAAATGTGGAATATGCAATGCAGCATGTAATATAAAGATGGAAAAATGTACAAAAGATTATTGCCATGCAACATGAGTAAAAAAAACTACATGTAGTCTTATAGGATGCATTATTGTGATCTATTGTACATGTAACTTAATTAAGGCCATGCACTGTTTTGGTTAATTAAAGATATATGTGGTACAATGCAATGTAACTTTAGATGCATGGTACCCAACTTACACCCCTTGCTCAATTATGCACGTGCAATATAGCGATATCTGAGGTGTCTACTCTACTCCAGTGATCTGAAGTGTCAAGAATATCGGTGCAGTGAACTTTCAAAGAACCTGGTCTGGAACTCGCCAGGGGCTGTCTGTGATTGGTTAATGACTGTCTGGGAATAAAAATAAATCTATTTATAGATTGTGTATCTACACCCAACACAGCCTATAAAAGAGCACAAGGCATCCACACGATCAAATAGGAGATCCAATTCATTACCAGCATAAGTAGGAAACTATAAAAAAAAATGTTGGCAGACTGGTCTCTTGTTACAATGATTAAATAGCACAAAGGTATGTATATCTGGGACAAAGGCCAATCGGGGTCATTCCACAATGACATGTCTCATTTGAATATGAATTCAGGATTCCGGCAGTCTGGAGTCTGCGTAAGTGCTTAGTATTTGTACATGTATCATGACCTCGCCTTTTTCGTTGTTGTGTTTTTCGGTATGCTACTGGGTCCTCCATTCTATGCCTTATATGTTGTGTTGAGTTTGTTTGATGTATGTACTGGTAGGAGAGGTATCAATGTTTGATGTAGGAGCAAGTTTTCAAGAGCGTACTTAAAAACGTCTGAGCAAATCAACAAAAAAACAACAGGAACCACAAGCTAAAAGACGCTTTCAGGGCCAAAAGATTATGGACTCCAGTTATTTGTTTGCACTTTGTACTCATAAACCTCACACTTTAATAAAAAAAAACAGAAACCTCTGAACTCCCAACCCCATTTGTTCATTGTCGTTTTATATACCGAAGCCATTTCCAAACAAATTTTCCATCAGCCATTGCAAATTAGCCCTCTCTTGATCTGCAAAAAAGGTTTTAGTTTCATTTTTAGTTTCAATGTGAGTGCCTCCATGGATAGCATGTTGGTTATGAGCTCGCAAACCTTTGAACACCCCCTCACAATGGGTAGTAACTACATAGATGTAAGCAAATCTTGTGCTTTTAAAGTTGCCTTTCGTAGACCATAGGGCAAGGAAATACCATGAAAATACCTTCCTCTAAATGAAGTCAAGGGTGCAATAAGAGACCACTCCACAAAGTTAAGGAACACTTTTTATGTGCAACAGTCATTTAAAAAGTGGGAGAGTGAAGAGACTTTACAACATGACAAGGCTTATTTTGACATTTTTTTGACAGGTAACATTTCATGAACCTGAGGGGGCGGGGTGGAGGCGGATCTATTT